CCAGCTTATATTGCATAATTCAATTTGCTGTGATACAGCACCTGGGAATAAAGTGCCATATGGTGCTTGTTTCTGTGAAAGAGCCTCTTATGAATCTCACTACAGCGTCTTCTATCTCTGCTTGAGTCCCAAATGGCACCCTATTCCCTATATAGTGCACTACTTTTGACCAGAGCCCTGTGAGGTTCTGGTCAAAAGTAGTGCACTATATAGTGAATCGGGCACCATTTGGGACGGAGACTGTTTGTTCTGAGTGGTTTGTGATACTGGCTCACTGGCTCTGTTGTGCGGTTTCGGAAGTAGTCGCCATTGAAGTGAAGCTATTTTTAGCGTTACATGTACGGGTACATGTTCTGCTTATTTTCAGGGGTTACGAGGGCCTTCTTCAAACAGTTGTAAAGACGTAATGGTCATATTGTTTGTCTGTTTTCTGTCTCTGTACTAGAACCTATTTGATTTCATAAAGTGGGTCGAACACAACCGCCACATAGAATATACATGGATAATTACCTATTTATTTGGAAGGGTTGAATGTCATAAGATATATCTTATATCTCTCCATAAGCTTCATTTTGAATATGAAAAGATGTTATATTCTTCCTCTTACTTCAAAACAGTACAGTACTCCAAAGTAATCTATGTTAATTTAGAGCATGAAGAGGACAGAACATGATGTGATGCCTCGTCAGTTGAATTGGTCACCCCTTTACTGATCACTCATTTAATGGAATGCGTCCCAAACGGCACCAAATGGGCCGTGGTGAAAAGTAGTGCACTATATACTGTAGGTACTAGGGTGCCTTTTGGAAAACAGTCATGGTCACCCCATTTACTGATTTGGTCACCCCATTTACTGATTGTTTTGCTGTCTGTACTGCAGATGCCAGGGCAGACAGAGCTGAGAGGAGAAAGCTCTTCAGGCACTACACTGTGGGGTCCTACGACAGCTTTGATGCATCAAGGTAAGGATTGGTTTCAATCACTCCTGGGTTTACTTACTCTTTTTCTATTCAAGGGGATGTTCAGAGGAAATCGGTGAAACCATGGTACTATACAGTGTGTAATATCTCCTTCTGAGCTGCTATAATATATGACAATGTATACATTTATAGCTTCCTTGACGAAGATGCTGCTGACACATACCCCCTATAGGTCTTTATGAACTGTGTTGAGACTGACAAATAGCATCACCAGCCTTATTCAATTTTAAAGAATGGAGGAAACAGCTATGCATGTACAGTAGTAAGTTATTCATCTGGGGTTTTTCGCAGCGAATCCTCCAAGATGATGAGGAGAGGGGTAAATGTGAATTATGAACTTAACCATACACAGTACATGGTTTATTTCATGTATTACTTTTCAGTTGGGAATAGCATGTTTGGGACATTGCATGTTTACCTGACGTTCATGTGCATATTTCAGTTATTTTATTCATTCATATCAACCCCATGCATTATATATCAGATAATCCACAGTAGTACTGTACTCTAATCTCTGACACTACTGATTACAGCACAAGAAAGGGTTCTGAGAGGGTTCTTTGGATCCTTCTCTATGAAAAAAAAAGGCTTCTAAAAGGGTTCTTTGTGGGTGACAGGGTTCTACCTAGCACCATATCGCGTTCTTCTACAGGTCCAAGCCCTAAGAACCTTATATTTCCAAGAGTGTACTGTACCAAAGCCTTTTATGGCAAAGCAAACTTGTGCAAGTGGAGAACCTTGAGGAGGAAATGGGCTGGGTGGGAGTGTGTGTGTGTGTGTGTGTGTATGTGTGTGTCTCCACAGGAGAGGAGATAGGCTGGGTGGGAGTGTGTGTGTGTGTGTGTGTCTCCACAGGAGAGGATATATGCTGGGTGGGAGTGTGTGTGTGTGTGTGTGTGTGTGTGTGTGTGTGTGTGTGTGTGTGTGTGTGTCTCCACAGGAGAGGAGATAGGCTGGGTGGGAGTGTGTGTGTGTGTGTGTGTGTCTCCACAGGAGAGGAGATAGGCTGGGTGGGAGTATGTGTGTGTGTGTGTGTGTGTCTCCACAGGAGAGGAGATAGGCTGGGTGGGAGTATGTGTGTGTGTGTGTGTGTCTCCACAGGAGAGGAGATAGGCTGGGTGGGAGTATGTGTGTGTGTGTGTGTGTGTGTCTCCACAGGAGAGGAGATAGGCTGGGTGGGAGTGTGTGTGTGTGTGTGTGTGTGTGTGTGTGTGTGTGTGTGTGTGTGTGTGTGTGTGTGTGTGTGTGTGTGTGTGTGTGTGTGTGTGTGTGTGTGTGTGTGTGTGTGTGTGTGTGTGTGTGTGTGTGTGTGTGTGTGTGTGTGTGTGTGTGTGTGTGTCTCCACAGGAGAGGAGATAGGCTGGGTGGGAGTGTGTGTATGTGTCTCCACAGGAGAGGAGATAGGCTGGGTGGGAGTATGTGTGTGTGAAACTTCTCGCTGTCAGATGGATGGTGATGTAAGAAATGCTTGAGCTCGGGGCCTTGCTTGTTCGCTCTTGGGCATTCGATGCCGGGAATGTTATGCAAACAGTAACAAACTAAAAAACTGTACCTAGGAAAGAAAGCACTCCATCCACAATGTCCTCAGCTTCTTCTCGGGGAGCCGTCTACATGAGAAAGCATGCGTTAACTACATGTTTTAACTGATGAACATCCCATTGAGACAATATTGCAGCACGTGCATTAGCCTACATACCTGATAAAATGAATTGATTTTAAAGCACATACCAGGCCTATACAAGATCATTCATGAGCAGAGAGAAAGAGAGAGAAAGCAATAGAAAGAGAGACAGAGATGGAAAGACCGAGAGAGAGGGAGAGACCAAGAGAGAGAAAGAGAGAGAGAGAGATATCCTCCTCCATCCAACAGTACTAATATACCCACCAACCAGTGCAGCAAGTGTAAAGAGCAAAGTAGGTTGTCATGGATACACAGACAGAGTCCCTGGTAGCAGTGCTGTGAAGGCTGGTTGCATGCTGCTCTGCTCATCTGCTCTGGCATGGCGGGTGACAGAGGTGAGGGACTTCAGCCTAGTCCCAGATCTGTTGCTGCTGTCTTGCCAACTCAGCATAGCATAGCAGATCTGGGTCTTGCCAACTCAGCACGAAACAAACCGATCTGGTACCAGGCTATAGGGACAGAGCCTCTCTGTAAACCTGGCCAGGATTCTGGTTTGCTCAATGGACGACATCTTTGGGGATTCCTCTGTATTAGGGGGGATTTCATTTTTTAAAATTCTCTTGACCAGTTGCACTGCTCCAATAAATTAATGTAATCTCTTCAAGAGTCTGTAGGCCAACTTTGATGTCCAAGCTACAGTACAATCTCTCAATAAATGAATCAGAAAGGAAACTCCTACTGATTAGCTTGGCAGATACTGTCTGCATTGGAATGTGTCTTCATGTATTGATAGATTTTACTGTAGCCTTTAGGGTTCATACTAGGATATTGGAATATACATTCATTTACTCTGTTTCCTGAAGGTCTATAATCCCTGTATTACATGTAGAACACCCTTACAAAAAAGATTGCAGTAAGAGTGCAGTATAACTTCAGTTCAACTGCAGTACACTTCAGTTATTCTGCAGTACACTTCAGTTATTCTGCAGTACACTTCAGTTATTCTGCAGTACACTTCAGTTATTCTGCAGAATCTACCATATCCTTGTTGCACTATGACAGCGTTTCCCAAACTCGGTGTGCACATTTTGTTTTTTTGCCCTAGCACTACACAGCTGATTCAAATCATCAAAGCTCGATGATTAGTTGATTATTTGAATCAGCTGTGTAGTTCGAGGGCAAAAACAAAACCTTCACCCCTTGGGGTCCAGAGGACTGAGTTTAGGAAACCCTGCGCTACGATGACCTATAGGTCCACTTTGTTCCTGGAATACTATGACTAACACCATTCTGATCACTAGCTCAAAGTAGAGCGTGTTACCATGGCAACCAAGCATCCCACCATCACCACCGGCATGGAACACGATACTAATTCTGGAATGATGTCTACTTGTGTTGCCTAGTTTATGACAATTAGACTGACCTACTGTTTTTATTCAAGCATAGGCCTACTAGATTGGAAGAATGACATTTAGATTGTCCATGCATCTGAAATGGTTAAGTACTTCTACTCCAGGTGTTCTTGAGAATGAAATTCAGCAAATTCTTCTTGTGAAAATAATGAGAGTTTTTATTTAATTTCTTTTTTAGCCTTTTCACCAAATCGTGTATGCTTTCTTTTGGCACAATATTGGTGTGACAGTGTATGTGTTAGCCTATGATTATTTGTTTAGTTATAGGCTATTCACTCCAATAAATCACATTACTGCATACTTGTCTGTGTGGAATTTTGCAAACACATTAAGTAGGTTAATATAGCCTAACTCTTCTCAGCTTTCATAAATGACACAACAGCATAGGCTGCCTGATGCAGTTGTCATCCAGATATTGCTGTATACACAGAATAATACGAAATGCTCTGAGACCATGTTGCATACACTATAGGATACTGCCTACTGAGGAATTAAATACATTTGATAGGCAGGCTATGGGTGGTCGCTTCCACTAAATTGAAATAAATCACTCCAAATGTCCTGTCTTCATTCATTCATTCATTCATTCCTTCGTTCATTCATCCACTCAGCTTTGCACCCTATAGGCTACCCCTCACCGCTCCCTCCCTCCCTCCTTCCCAGAGCCGCTTGCTTTTCCCCAGCTGTTTTTTTCTCTAACGTTATCCGCTTTTGATTTTGGTCTCCTTTGGGTGGAAATGTTTCTCTCTACCGACATCCACTGTCTCCGGCTCCGCCCGTTTTTTTTACATCAACGTTTTCGGCAAAGGTGGATTTAATCTTTGGAGGAGCACGGTGACGGTGCGCTGTCGCTGTAACATCTATGCACGGAGCATCATTCATTATTATAGTTGATTAATGAAGCACTCGGGGCGAGCAGCTGTGGCTATGATGAGGATGATAGGATTTAGTAATAACGGTCGCTTTGCGCGGAATTTTCTCCACAGCGACTGTGTTATTGACGAGAAGACGGTAGTTCTACAGAAGAAGGATAATGAGGGATTCGGGTTTGTGCTGCGAGGGGCGAAAGGTAGGAGACGGACCTTAACTCAGTGTCTGTCTGTTGCTCCCTTGTTATGTTCATGTGTCATCACCCGTCCACGTTGCAATATTTGTTTCTGTCGCGTCAGTGATGAGAATCACGCACATATTGCTTATTATCCACCCACGCTGTTTTGAACACCCACTTACTTCAATACAAATTCCAATACTTTTTTTTTCTGTTGGCGACAGTGTGATAGTTTTTGTGTTGTAGCTCATTCTCAAGTCAGCTCTGCCCCTTGATCATGTTTTGTGTGAACTGACTGAGCCTATATCAACTGAGGAACTATTGATATTCTGTTGATTTAAACAGCTTCTCCATCACAAACGTTTGTTTCTGATAAAGTAGACAGTCAATTCAAATCACATACCCAGAGCCTCTGCCTCTGCTCCATAGAATATAAACTAACATAAGCTACTGTATTGAATGAGCAGACTAACAACTGTCCTTGGAGTTTTCTTAAAACACATGGCTGATTTATTGCAAGTGTCACTTGTCACCACTGGTTTCTTGGAGGTGCTGTGACTTCAGTTCTGCAGGAGAAAGATGCTACACAGTATTCTTGTAACATCTGTAGCAATCTGCAACATCTAAACTAAAGGAAGCATTGTTGTGACTTTGCTGATATTAGTATTTTTTTAGATGGTCAGTTTAGTTTTGTATTATATGCATGGGCTCCTGTCAGATCTGCAGTTTGTCAGTGTCTGCAGTTTGAGACTCTCTCTCTCACACACACACACACACACACACACACACACACACACACACGCACACACACACATACACATGTACACACGCACACACGCACACATGCACACACACACACACACACACACACGCACACACACACACACACGCACGCACGCACACACGCATACATGCACACACACACACACACACACACACACACACACACACACACACACACACACACACACACACACGCACACGCACACGCACACACACAGCTCTCTACTGAACTGTACACAGTCAGTGCAGGGAATTTATTAGGAACAGAGTGGAGGGGTGAATGATGCGTCTCCCCAGCCCCAGCCCTAGCCCACAGTCTCTGTCGCTGTCCCTGGCCAGACAGCATGATTGTGCCACTAAGCTGTGATTACATTGCCATTGTTGTCTACATGCAAGCTTTTTAGTGTCTTACTGATAATTACATTGCATTATGATGATCCATTCAAATACAAATGTTACTGTAGCATTGTTGTAATGCTGTCCCTGCATGTATTACTGTATATCGTCAATATATATGTACATCTTCCGTGTACATGTGTTTGTGCGTACATGTGTATGCAACAGAGTTTGCAACGTTTTCATATTATTTGGTCCAGTAAAAAATGTTTTCCATTTCCCTGATGGTGTCTGTTTTGAATGTTGACATTCAAAGGTGTCTGTTATACGTTACACTGTTGTGTTGAATTTCACAAGGTAATGTTTTGTTGAATTACCTGTATTACATATGTGTAATAATGTGCAGTAATGATACTGTCCCAGTGATATTGCTGCCTTGCATTTCTCACCTTCTCTTCTCTCTCTGACTTTACCTGGGACGTTGTCTGCACCTGCTCACCCACCCCTCCAGCGGACACGCCTATAGAGGAGTTCACTCCCACCCCTGCCTTCCCCGCCCTGCAGTACCTGGAGTCTGTGGACGAGGGCGGGGTTGCATGGCGGGCGGGGCTTCGCAACGGAGACTTCCTCATCGAGGTAAGGAAGCAGAGTCTCTTTCTCAATTCATTTCTCCTCGATTGCTTGCATCCTCTCACCTTGCCTCCTCCATAAAATGCATTGGAAAAGAGGGTCTGATGGGAGGGACCTTGGACCTACTTCTCCAATACGGTTGAGAAAGAGGCGAGGAGATAGGATGTGAGGATTCACACGTTCCTTCCTGGACTTGGAAGATTCCTTTTCAGTGTGAAGAATTTGTGATGATATGTTTGAAACTTGATGGGAGGTCTGTCTGAATACATTTATGAATGTGGGCCCGACAAGCTCCATAAGCATGGGTCTCTTTTGTGGGAATTTAGGGTAGTTTACTCCATTTATCATTTAGAGTTTTGTTTGTCCCAGAAAATCATGGCTTTCAGAACAGAACAGCACATTGTGGCATAGTTTTCTGGGCCTCCAAATGAGCTGAACCTCTGAAAGTGAGTTATAAAAGTCTGGATAAGCTCCAGAATGTTTCCTCATGCACATACTTAATGAGAAATCTGTGTTCTGTTAATGCTGAAATAAGGAATACTAAGCTACTGTATTGAAAGAGATTATGTTTTTTGGCTGCACCTCATCTCATTTTGGTTGAAGCGCTGTCTGCTCCCCTCCTAAACTACTGTAATGTCCTCAGAGGTGTGCTCAGAGTCACTTCTTTGTAGTACACTGTCCAATTTTATCGGTCAGTCTTTTTGGTTGTAAGGTGATTGAGTTCATACCCAAGCATAGCCTGAAATCCAAACTGTTCCGCTTCACTGTTGTTTCCTAAACAGAACAAGATGAACAGTTACATTCCAGGCTAACTCAGGCAGCCACTGTGGATTACATTTCCACTTGAACACGGAACATAGTATTGCCTAGCACTCATCTCTTCTTGCTGTGGATATATCTTCCGTTTGTCAGAACAGTACCTCACCTAAATGCTTTATTTCTTTAATGCATTGTCTAACACTTGACCACCACAGGTTGTGGTTGCACAGACCCTCTGGTATAGTAGGTCAGATGAATTAATGAATGAATTCATGCTTGAACAGACTGGGGAGAGGAGAGGGCAGTTCCAGTTAATCATTTTTCCATGGCTGTCACTTCAGTTCTATGTCAGGAAAACAAATACATTTTGCCCGCAAAATTCAGAACTCCAACTCAGTGTTCTTCAGTGTTACTTCAACAGAACTAGAATGATATTGTATTTCTATGGTTACTTCAACAGGGATGGGTGGAAGTCATTTTGTAGTATAAGGCAGAATAGAGGGGAGATAATGATTGGCCATCTGTCTTCCTAGAGCATACAGATGTAGTATTCATGGATACAGAGCAGGATGGTGATGATGTTACAAAAAAGGGGGAAAACATGAACTATACTGTAAGAATAGAAATACTCAAAACACAGTGATTGTGTAATGAAACCATGAAAAGTAGTGTTTGGCGGGTGTTTGAATGTAAACCCAATGTGTAAGTGTTATGATACACAGAAAGTGTTTTAAAAACAGAATAGAAGTACTCTGAAACACCCAAAGTGGTTATTCAGAACACACAAAAATATGTTTTTTGCAGACTGTATCTCATATAGTCAAATGGTTTAGAAATGCACATGGTTTGTAGCCTACATATGAATTGATGATAAGGGCCTATGGAGAATACGTTTTTGTGGAATTCCACCTTCATTTTTTCAATGATTTATTTATTTAGACAGATTGGAAACAGGAGGAAACAGAGAAGGGGTGAAAGTGGAACAGGTGGAAGTGGAAATTCAACAACTGACTTCAATGGAGTGTCATTAGAATTTGACACACTCAACCAGACAGCCACACTGTAAAAAAAATGTCTGGGGTGAATTGAAATTGACAAAATATATATATATATATGTATATATGTATATATATGTATATGATTTTACCAAAACATTGAAGAATTAATCCAACTTAAAATGTTGCTCAAAATGTAAGTATATTTTATGAGGATAACCAAATATAGAGGAAATTGAATGATTTAACTCATTGGAAGTCTGGTTTTGCCACGTGGCTATGTTTTTAAAGGATTGTGTGTATTTAAACATTTTCAGACTTTATGATTATTTTACACATTGTATGCATGTTTGAAGAAAGAAAATTATACTTCTATATTAGTATTAAGCAGCTTGTTGTGCCATGAGGCGTAATGGATCATGATGAATGGATATTAAAACCGTCAGGCAAAATGACATTCAATGATGAGACCACCCATTCCCACATTTCCTTCTTTAAATGGTAGAGGTAAATACACTATCCTGCAATGTTTGCTGTAAAACCTCTAGTTACTGCTGGTGAATTGACCACAGAGCTCAACAATGCCTGCCAAAATGGGTTAAACTGGCAAATGATCAGATACATAAATCAATGTTAAACATTAAAATACTACAGAAGAAGTGATGTAATTCTACACTAGACAGGATGTGAAACACCATAATAGTGTTTAGAAGCTTTAGAGGAAACCACACCAAAAGAGAAGGTATCTAATTATACATAGAATATAAGGTATCTAATTATACATAGAAGATAAGGTATCTAATTATACACAGAAGAGAAGGTATCTAATTATACATAGAAAAGAAGGTATCTAATTATACATAGAAGAGAAGGTATCTAATTATACATAGAAGAGAATGTATCTAATTACACATAGAAGAGAAGGTATCTAATTACACATAGAAAATAAGGTATCTAATTATACATAGAAGAGAAGGTATCTAATTACACAGAAGAGAAGGTATCTAATTATACATAGAAGAGAAAGTATCTAATTACACATAGAAGAGAAGGTATCTAATTACACATAGAAGAGAAGGTATCTAATTACACATAGAAGAGAAGGTATCTAATTACACATAGAAGAGAAGGTATCTAATTATACATAGAAGAGAATGTATCTAATTACACATAGAAGAGAATTATCTAATTATACAGAGAAGAGAAAGTATCTAATTACACATAGAAGAGAAGGTTTCTAATTATACATAGAAGAGAAGGTTTCTAATTCTGCCTTGTTTCAAAACATCTCAGGATGATGTGTTTCAATACTACAGCAAAGTTAAGGTTTTGTCTCCGCATTGGTGGCAGCTCAGTTCCAACTAGTTTTGGTGTTACAAAGCACTTCATTTTAACAGTGTAGAATAGAGTGTTTGTCTTGCAGCTAAACTAATATCATCCTACCACTTCACATAATACTGTATAGACAAGATAGAGATAGCCCCAGGGAATTGTCCCTTTGCAATCGAAGTTGTTATTGTGCTATTATATTCTATTAGTCATGGGAAGCTTTAATATTTGTCACACTTCTACATATTTTTGGTGATTATTCCTCAGAATAAGATTTGATCTTGATTTGATGTAATCGAACTGGCCAAGAATGTACAGTATTTCAAATGAAATATTAAATGATTTAGCTCAACAGTAAGTTCCTGTCAAATATTATGATGACATTACAGCAACTCTGTGCCCTGGTTGGGGGACAATGGCAGTCTCGGGAGTTCACAGCTTACTCTTGTGTGTTTTGGTGCTCTGCTCGGTCATCCCCTCCAGACCACCTCCAATGACCTTGCAGGCTGCCAGTAAACCCCTGTTTAATGGTCCAGTCAATACTGGAGATGTGGATGGCCTTGGGACAGGGATGGGGATGGAGGGTTTAAAGCCTGTCGGGTGGAGAGGGTGCTTCTCTTGGGGATGTGTAGGAGAAGGTTTATCTCCTGTCTTCAGGGAGAGAGGGTGCTGCTCTACAAATGGGTGTGTTTGGGACCTCAGAGTAATCTGTCTCTTATTTCCTTCACTCCATCAGTGATCTGTTACTATTAGGAAATTAAATATATAAAACCAGAGAGGACGAGGCGAACTTTAGGCTACTTTGGTGAATTTGCGAGGCATGCAAGACAAGACTTTGCGATATAAAGATTACCAAATCAAATCAAAATTGTATTTGTCACTGTAGCGGGTGATTTGGATGGAGTCAGGCGCAGGAGGGTAAATCACAGAATAAATGGTTTATTCGGCAAATACAGCGGTACGCAGCAATGCGTAAAACTCTACAGTGCGGTATAACAACGCACTGGAGAAAACAAAGCACACGGGTGAATATCCCGGCGATACAAATATAGAAAACTCCACAGAGCTATCGTCACCTCCACAATAAACAATCACACACAAAGACATGGGGGGCAGAGGGAATACTTATACAAGTACTGATGAGGGGATATGAACCAGGTGTTTTGAGAAACTAGACAAAACAAATGGAATGATGAGATGAGGAGCGGCAGTTGCTAGAATGCCGGTGACGACGAACGCCGAAGCCTGCCCGAACAAGGAGAGGAGGTGTCACGTCTCCTCCCGTTGCTTCCCTCCGGCACTCTGATTCGCCGGTCTACTGAGCCACCAGTCTGAGCGCACCACCTCGGCAACACCGGAATGGAAATCCAACGCACCCTAATCACCTCCAGCGCACCTGCACCTCATCATCTCATCACCACCCCTATATAGCCCTGGACTGTTCAGTGTTGTGTTGTGTGAGATTGTTAGTGTCTTGTTGTGTACTCACTCTTTGTTTTTCTCTTGCTCAGTGTTAAGTAAACCTTTACATTGTTGATTCCTGCATCTGCGTCCTGCCACTTCGTATCCTCAGTACTCGTCACTGGAGGCAGCTTCGGAGGAAGTCGTGACAGTCACATGCGCCGAATACAACTTGTGTAGACTTTACAGTGAAATGCTTGCTTTTGTGCCCTTCCCAATGATGCAGAGTTTAAAAATTAAAATTAAATAGTAACAGAAGAGGAATAAAATAAAACACACAAGAATGGAGCTATATCCAAGGAGTACCAGTACCAGATCAATGTGCAGGGGTAGGAGGTATTTGAGGTAGATATGTACATGAAGGCAGGGTAAAGTGACTAGGCATCAGGATAGATAATAATAACAGTCAAATAAAAATACAGTAGTAGTGTGTGTAATGTGTATGAATGTGTGTTTGTGTTGTGTCGGTATGCGTGTGTGTGTTATGTGTGTGTGTGTATGTGAATGTGCGCACATTCTTCTGCCTGCCCCCTCCTCTCTCACCCTGGCGCTGGCTCGCCTGCTCTTTCTCTATGCTAAGGATGGAAGTGTGTGTTCAGTCTTCGGTCTGTTGCATGTAGAATATCCTAGCCCAGTAGTTCCCAACCTTTTTCGGTTACTGTACCACCAACTGAATTTTGCTCTGCCTGGAGTACCCTGAGGTCCTGTATGGAAATACTTTGAGAAGTTCAATGAGAAGATGGTGACATGCAAACTTTGCGAGGTGGAATTCAGGTTAGGGCTGTCCCCGACAAAGAAAAAATCTTGGTTGACCTAATCGTCTGTTCTTACATTTTAAAACATGTCTGTTTCCCTATATAGACACACCCTATGTATTTTAATAAAATCAGCTATATGTAGGCTACTGAGCTTGTCTGATGCTTTAAGCACACTTTAATTAAATAATTAAGACATACAAATGACTTGAGAGAGCCAGAGATCAAGATAGCCTAACCAGAAGAAAAGAAACCTGTTCCAGACCCTCTTCATCCCACTGCTGCTGGCTTTCGCAGATTCTTCTGTTACGCTCCTGCTGTTGCGCTCCTAATAGGCTACACCAGGGGTCGGCAACCATTTCCATTTGGAGTGCCAATTTATCTTACCATTTCTACCGTTCTGATTTTTATATGCACATTTTCATGGAACAGTTTAATTTCATTTATAATAAAGTCTTCGTATCTCAAAATCATGTGGTTCATCAAAATTCTACGCATAGCCTGTCTGCAAGGAACTTGAAACGTTGTATCAACTATTTATTTTGGTCCGGCCTGAAGCTGGAGCTAGCAAACTTGTGACATTGTATAACATATTCTGGGCCCTCAAAGTTTCCAGCTCCAGTGAGCTCCGGACAGACATACAGTAGCTGTATGCTGTTTGCGCAAATTATAATAAGTAATCAGGTAGGCCTATTATATAACTTTTCCACTGGATCAGAGCATGACATCCCCCCCCCCTTTCACTCTTAGTGGTTATCGAATGAGAGCTGGAAAGAATTTTCAAATAGGCTACGTTGAGAAACTATTGTCATTCTCAATGGATGTAAAAACATACTTTTTTACTTGCTGTTTGAGGTGAAGAAAAAAATACTTTGAGAAGTTCCACATTTGCACGCAGGCCGGGTAGCCTAGGCCTACTTCTATGTATAATCAGGTGCGCATCCTTACTCAACAGGAGCACTACAAACAAACGACAAGGAATAAATTGACAACTCCTAAATGGAATGAAATTAACCAAAACGTGTTCCTCACAAGTGTAGCCTAGGTTGTGCGGTCCGCAAACAAGTGTCCACTCCGACAATGAGAACAATAAAAGACTGTAATAATAATATATTGAATGCATTAACAGAAATTACCGTAACCAAACAAACATTATTATTATTATTATTATTATTATGGTAACTAACGGTAAATGTACTAGTGCTGATACTGGTGTTCCATCCCCGCGGCATCCGCAATGGATTAGACATACGTGAATCAGACAGGTGTCTCATGTGCCATAAAAAATTGATATATTTTAGACAGCTCAACTAAAAAAAGTATTTGTCGACCAACAGCCTATTGACCAAACATTAAATGGGGTCAGCCCAAATTGAGGTACAATAATGGTAGTACAGGTGCAATGCTCAACCATCTGAAAGGGACGCACCGTGAGACCCAAACCGTCAGGTGGAATTGTATGAATTTTTCATATTGTTTTAACGGAAAACCGCAAAAAAATATTGTTGTTTAAACGTTAAGATTTTTTTTCCATTTGTCACATCCTTAGTTACTATCCATTGTTGTTTTCGCTGTGAGCAAGCTAGAGCCAAATCTCAGTGTTGTTTTTCTTTGGGTGACCTCTGGTTTTGGCAGCTCCATTTATTACAGATGTTGGTCAGCCAGGACTTAATCTAAAGAAGCAGACCAACGCCGCTTTGTAGTTGGTTGTCCCAGGCATATAGCCCAATAACCGGTTGTGACACTGTAGCCCAGGTTATTCTGGTGATCCAATGTTGTCCACTGTGACAGTAGCGCAAATTGTAGATGCTGTCCACTGTCATGTGGTGCTGAACTTCAGAATTCTGATACAGTCGCTGTCCACTTCAATGGTGCTGAATCTCTGATTGTCTCTTTTACAGCGTGTTTGCTTACTTTAGCACCGTAGCGTATAGCTGTATGTTGGAAAGAAAATACCCACACCACATGTATATGTATTTTGTATATGTATATTGAATGAATCTATTTAGTCTCCTCTCACCTCTCCTCTTATTTTCTCATCACGGTTGTAGCCTACTCTTTCTCTGTTGTCTTTGCAAGTAGCACACATAGGCGTTCTGTCAAAGCCCAGTAAACAGAGTACTGTAGTCAGTGAGCTTATGTCACTAACTGTAAGTCGCTCTGGATAAGAGCGTCTGCTAAATGACTAAAATGTCAATGTAAATGTCAGCTTTTCATTGGTTGTAATATGGTTTGTTAATGCACATAGTGGACGTATATTTAACATGAATATGTATGTATGGGTCTGGTAGTGGAGATAATATGACAGTGCTGCTGGCCTGGATGGCCATGGTCAAACGGACCTCCACATATGTTAAGGTTTAGTGATCCCACCACATACTGTATAGGTGTTACATACACATTCAAATGTATTCAGGCTCCAATTTAACCAATTGAAAATATACAAAACATTAAGAACACCTGCTCTTTCCGTGACATAGACTGACCAGGTAAATCCAGGTGAAAGCTATGATCCCTTATTGATGTCACTTTTTAAATCCACATCAATCAGTGTAGATGAAGGAGGGGTGGACAGGTTAAAGAAGGATTTTTAAGCCTTGAGACAATTGAGACATGGATTGTGTATGTGTGCCATTCAGAGGGTGAATGGGCAAGACAAAATATTTAAGTGCCTTTGAACGGGGTATGGTAGTAGATGCCAGGTGCACTGGTTTGTGTCAACAACTGCAACGCTGCTGCGTTTTTCACGCTCAACAGTTTCCCCTGTGTATCAAGAATGGTCCACCTCCCAAAGGACATCAAGCCAACTTGGCAGAACTGTGGGAAGCATTGGAGTCAACATGGGCCAGCATCCAAGGGTGGGGGGTACTCAATATTAGGAAGGTGTTCTTACTGTTTTGTACACTCAGTGTATCATTGCTCAGATATACAATTTAACATTCATATTCACCTGACGTTCAGGTCGGATGTGAGGCAGTCACAATCAAGCATTGTTTGTTTGAACAGCCTCTCTCTCTGAGAGTGTTTCAGCATTATTGATAAAAGGACTCAGGCCGAGTCCCAAATGGCATCCTATTATCTACATAGTGCACTACTTTTGACCATTCCCTATGGGCCCTGGTCAAAAATATATAGTGAATGCCATTTGGGACACAACCTCAGTGCATCCTCACAACAATACAGAAGCTCTTAGCAGTGGCCCTCCAATGGTCTTTACCTCCCCGTTGGATGAGGAGCTCTTATCTGTCTGTGTGCCTTACTCTCCTCTCACAGAGAACACAGCAGCTGCTTGAAATAACCTAGAATCTAGCTTATGTTTAGCACTGATGTTATGTTCCCCGCAGGAACAGATTTTCAGTGTGAAAGGTGATGGTGTGTGTGTGTGTGTTTGTGAGGGCGGGGGGTGGACGTAGGTGTGTTTGTGTGTGTGTGTGTGTGTGAAGAAGAAGGAACATATTTTCAGTGTTTAAAGGGGCAATCTGAAGTTGAAACAATAACAAAGTCTTATCCCCACCACTGTTTTGGCAAAAAAGGGAAAGAAAATTAAAACAAGTCTTCAATTGCAACTGGCCTTTTTGTTAAATGTTTTGTTGTTTTCAAACACCATTTCAGTTATTTACACAAGAGGATAAGAGTTGAGCACATTCTCTCCCTTTACCTGGTACTGTATTGATATTAGAGACTCAGCCCATCTCAGCCCTCTGCAGTGCTCTGCTCTGCTCTCTTTGTGGCCATGACCGTGACTATCTCATGGACAGTGAGTTGTTCTTTGTGGACAGTAGCCCAGAGACTGCAGGGCATGCCTTGGAGGTACCTCATAGCCTAATAACCACACAACCTGTCACTAAAGTAAATAACTCGGCATGGTGTAACCTATTTTGAGGATAGGAGGAAAGTGAATTGTGTGTGTATGCATGTTAGCCACTTACTAACATTGCCAACTGTCTCTTAATTGTTTAGTTGTTGATATTGTAGTAATTAATTCAATCCAAGCTTTAGAATGATGCCGTTGTTCAGTGTTACATTGTCCCCAAGGGAAAGCAGGGGAGATTGAGTCTGAAAAAAGGACAATGTATTTACAAGAATCACCATTATTACCCAATGAATAGCCAGTCAAATCATTATACTTCCTATTCATTGGGTAATTTGGATTCTTGTAAATACATTCTTACTATAGAATGTAAATACAATCTCATTAGCGATGGTGGGGACCTGTTCATTCGTTCACTACACATGCTGATGGATGTCCAGGGTTCACGCACGTCGTAATATGTCACAGTGGTCACCTAGCAACCAGCTTCACATTTTGTCCCTACGCACGCTTTGATGGATAAAAGGGAGGGAGACAGCTGTTAGAGATTTCCCAGCAGCACCCTCTCTGTCTCTCTGACGGTCTGGGTACTCTAATCTGAACGTGTGTGAAAACATATGCGAGTGGCTGGGGTTTGGTGACAGTGTGTGTGTGTTCTATGTAGCTGTGTGTCTCAAGCCAGAAAAGTTGCTTTATTGTCTTCTGTATACTGTAAAACAGCCTGTATACTATTACTATTTCTAACTTAGCTGATTAGCTAAATGTTATGGTATTCACTTCAAGGTAATCTCAGATGTGCACTGATTAAACTAAAGCGAGAGATTATACACTGAGTATACAAAGCATTAAAATGTATTCAGGTTGAAGGGTAGAAGACAGGTTAAATAAGGACTTTTAAGCCTTGAGACAATTGAGACATGGATTGTGTATGTGTGCCATTCAGAGGGTGAATGGGCAAGACAAAAGATTTAAGTGCCTTTAAAAGGGATATGGTAGTAGATGCCAAGAACTGCAACGCTGCTGGGTTTTACACGCTCAACAGTTTCCCATATCTATCAAGAATGGTCCACCGCCCAAAGGACATCAAGCCAACTTGACACAACTATGGGAAGCATTGGAGTCAACATGGGCATCCCTGTGGAACGCTTTCAACATTTTGTAGAGTCCGTGCCCCAACAAATTGAGGCTGTTCTGAGGGCAAAAGTGGGGAGTGCAACTCAATATTAGGAATGTGTTCATAATGTTTGGTATACTCAGTGTATATTGTCTTGTAGTGTTTACATTTCAGGTATTAGGAATACCATTGATACTTTGATTGTTCTTCTTGACATTTTTTTAATATACTTAATTTTCCATACGCTTACTCTTCGACCATGACATCACATACAGTGGGGGAAAAAAGTATTTAGTCAGCCACCAATTGTGCAAGTTCTCCCACTTAAAAAGATGAGAGAGGCCTGTAATTTTCATCATAGGTACACGTCAACTATGACAGACAAATTGAGAATTTATTTTCCAGAAAATCACATTGTAGGATTTTTAATGAATTTATTTGCAAATTATGGTGGAAAATAAGTATTTGGTCACCTACAAACAAGCAAGATTTCTGGCTCTCACAGACCTGTAACTTCTTCTTTAAGAGGCTCCTCTGTCCTCCACTCGTTACCTGTATTAATGGCACCTGTTTGAACTTGTTATCAGTATAAAAGACACCTGTCCACAACCTCAAACAGTCACACTCCAAACTCCACTATGGCCAAGACCAAAGAGCTGTCAAAGGACACCAGAAACAAAATTGTAGACCTGCACCAGGCTGGGAAGACTGAATCTGCAATAGGTAAGCAGCTTGATTTGAAGAAATCAACTGTGGGAGCAATTATTAGGAAATGGAAGACATACAAGACCACTGATAATCTCCCTCGATCTGGGGCTCCACGCAAGATCTCACCCCGTGGGGTCAAAATGATCACAAGAACGGTGAGCAAAAATCCCAGAACCACAAGGGGGGACCTAGTGAATGACCTGCAGAGAGCTGGGACCAAAGTAACAAAGCCTACCATCAGTAACACACTACGCCGCCAGGGACTCAAATCCTGCAGTGCCAGACGTGTCCCCCTGCTTAAGCCAGTACATGTCCAGGCCTGTCTGAAGTTTGCTAGAGTGCATTTGGATGATCCAGAAGAGGATTGGGAGAATGTCATATGGTCAGATGAAACCAAAATAGAACTTTTTGGTAAAAACTCAACTCGTCGTGTTTGGAGGACAAAGAATGCTGAGTTGCATCCAAAGAACACCATACCTACTGTGAAGCATGGGTGTGGAAACATCATGCTTTGGGGCTGTTTTTCTGCAAAGGGACCAGGATGACTGATCCGTGTAAAGGAAAGAATGAATGGGGCCATGTATCGTGAGATTTTTAGTGAAAACCTCCTTCATCAGCAAGGGCATTGAAGATGAAACGTGGCTGGGTCTTTCAGCATGACAATGATCTCAAACACACCGCCCGGGCAACGAAGAAGTGGCTTCGTAAGAAGCATTTCAAGGTCCTGGAGTGGCCTAGCCAGTCTCCAGATCTCAACCCCATAGAAAATCTTTGGAGGGAGTTGAAAGTCCGTGTTGCCCAGCTACAGCCCCAAAACATCACTGCTCTAGAGGAGATCTGCATGGAGGAATGGGCCAAAATACCAGCAACAGTGTGTGAAAACCTTGTGAAGACTTACAGAAAACGTTTGACCTGTGTCATTGCCAACAAAGGGTATATAACAAAGTATTGAGAAACGTTTGTTATTGACCAAATACTTATTTTCCACCATAATTTGCAAATAAATTCATTAAAAATCATACAATGTGATCTTCTGGAAAAAAAAATCTCATTTTGTCTGTCATAGTTGACGTGTACCTATGATGAAAATTTCAGGCCTCTCTCATCTTATTAAGTGGGAGAACTTGCACAATTGGTGGCTAACTAAATACTTTTTTTCCCCACTGTAGTATCTAATGTGGTTTATGTAATTCCTTTCTCTTGAACGTTATCATTGTGTGGGGATCCCTTTCCTCTCTTCAATAGTCTCTTATCTGCGTATGCCTGACGTACGATTCCGCTGCTCTTAATACATGGGCTTTGAGCTGAGGTAGCTCTGATTCAGGCCACCCAGAAAAGGCTCTAAAATGGAACGGCGATAGGTGATCTCACCCAGCAGCTCCTCTGTGCACTTGGTAATTAGCCTACTCAAGACAAAAGAGTTTTGCCTGCCCTGAAGACTGAAGAATAGAATAGCAGAGAGGAGATTGCATTTGATCATGGAATTGCAATGGGACTGTGGGTGATTGGCCAATGTTAACCCTCCGTCTCTGAAGTGGCTCAGTGAAACTGCAGTGAAACAGCCTGCACTTCATTGATTGCCAGCCACTGGCCTTACATGATAACATCCTTGTCCAAAAGGGAAGAAAACGTTTGTTTTGCGTGCCGAATGGCATCCTATTCCCTATGTAGTGCACTACTTTTGACAGGGCTTATAGTGCTCTGGTTAATAGTAGTGGACTATTTAGAGAATAGGTTGCCATTTGGAATGCATCCATTCTCTCCGGGTAGCAGGAGCTGATTGTACTCCATTGTACTCCATTGTACTCCATAACCACAATACAACAAGTGTGTCTCAGAAGGCTTTTTGCACTTGACTTGAATACATATTTTGTGCATCAGGTGAAGTGTATGTGGTTTCTGTGCGTTTGAGCCTGTGTACTGGATGATGAATCAAGCGATGAATCATTATTATGTTGTCTGTTGTTCTGTTACTGTATACAGGCTGTATCTACTCATCTCTCTCTCTTTCCTTTAATTGGCTGTATCTGGATTGGGTTGTTTTTCTCAAGTTTTTTTCTTGTTAGTCTAAAATGGATCACGTCTCTATCTCTGTGGTCTGGGCAGAGGTACCTGAGGGTCTCTATAGTTCACTGAGCAGTGTTATTTAATGATTGGGCTACCAAACATTCAACGTTATGTAATGACTGTGTGTATGTGTGTGTGTCACTATGCGTGTGTGTGTGCACATGCACATTCTTGCTTTCTTTGTTTGCGTGCATGTGTGCACCCTTTTAGTACAGTGCACATGTTAATTCTGCTGGAAGTTACCAGAAGTGACACAAAATCCTATTTATGAAATATGAAAGGGCCCTGTAGACACTGGCACACAACCTCTCTCCCTGGCAAATCACTCGCTGCATTCCCAGATATCTGTTTTTGAAGTCAAAGCCATGAATACCACATCACCATAAAATGTACTGGGTGCCTGTAGGGCTGATAAGATGAAGTACTGGAACCATGTCGTCCAAAACGTTCTACTTTTGAATCATCTGTCTATAGAACATTCTTCCAAGAGTCTTGATGATCATCCAGGTGCTTCCAGGTGCTTTTTTGCAAACTTGAGTCAACTTTTTGGATGACATGGGTCCAAAGTAAGAACCTCATACCAACAGTCAAGCATGGTGGTGGTAGTGTGATGGTTTGGGGATGCTTTGCTGCCTCAGGACCTGGACGACTTGCCTTAATAGAAGGAACCATTAATTCTGCTCTGTATCAGAGAATTCTACAGGAGAATGTCAGGCAATCCGTCTGTGAACTGAAGCAGAAGCGCAGCCGGGTCAATGCATCAAGACAATTATCCAAAACACACAATCAAGTCTACATGAAAATGGCTAAAAAGCAACACATTTGAAGTTTTGGAATGACCTAGTCAAAGTCCAGACCTAATCCCAATTGAGATGTTGTGGCAGGACTTGAAACGAGCAGTCCATGCTTGAAAACCCACATATGTCACTGAGTTAAAGCAGTTCTGCATGGAAGAGTGGGCCAAAATTCCTCCACAGCGACATGAGAGACTGATCAACAACTACAGGAAGCGTTTGGTTGGAGTCATTGCAGCTAAAGGTGGCACAACCAGTTATTGAGTGTAAGGGGCCAATTACTTTTTCACACAGGGGCATTGGGTGTTGCATAACTTTGTTTATGAAATAAATGAAATAAGTATGTAATTGTTGTGTTATTTGTTCACTCAGGTTCCCTTTATCTAATATTAGGTTTTGATTGAAGATTTGATAACATTCAGTATAAAAAATATGCAAAAGTAGAGAAAATTAGAAAGGGGGCAAATAATTTTTCACAGCACTGTATAGGATATGAAAGTAGGTCACATTTTTTATGTAGATAGTTTTCTATTGATAATGAGAACTGTGAATTTATATTTTTCTACAAAGCAATTATAATGAACCAGATAATTGACCCTTGACACTTTTGGAAAAAATAAGTTTATTAAATTCTATTGAGAACTTTTCCTGAAGCCAGCTAACTTTCTCTTGTCTCATAATTTCTCCTGTTTTACAGGAAACATATCTGTTTTCCTGGTCTCAATCCTGGGACCTGTAACAAACACGTCATAGGCTATGGTATAGATATTTTTTATTACAGGAAATTAGCTTTAAAACTGCAATGTTTTGTCTCACAGGGACCCTGTTTATAGGGTCTGTAGGCTATCCAGTGCTTAAGAAAAATATCTAGACATAACTATTAGACATTTACACAATTATATGTATTTCACCTTTCATGCTACACAAAGATAAATAGAAGAATTGCAACATTTACCTGGAGCTAACTCTGCAAATAGCACTGCTGAGTGATTTAAAAAGTCATAGTCAATCGATCAATAATATAAAGCAAAAATGTTTGTCTTTAATTTACAATCTGTAGAAACTATGAGAATAGAAAGGTTCAGAACTTTTGTGAAACATCACAGCACAGTTGAAAAATAGAAATCAAAACCGGATGGTGTTCAGAGATAGATGGGAGGGGTTGAGTGGAGCTGAAGGGTGGGACTAAAAATAACAACTATTGTAAAATATTGTCCCTAAAATGTATAAGCTGGAAGTAGAAGCCTAAGTGTTGTTGTCCATTAGTTTACTTCAATTAGGGGATGGGTGGTAGGGTTAGGGGAAATTAATAAAGGAAAATATATACAAATATATATATATATATATATATATATATATATATATATATATATATTTTATATATTCACAAAAATATATATATATGGATAAAATATATTTTTCTAAACTAATCCAATCTATTAGTTGGATTTATTGCACCCTTTACTGATATGGTTGTTCCAGTTTACATGGTTTAGGTAGTCTAATTAATTTATCGTACTTATCGTTCTAACCCTGGCAGTCATTCTGAATGCAGATTGTGGGTGAATAAATGTAAAAATGTTTGGATATCCCGTCAGGCTGGATTCCAATAGGAATTAGACATCACTTTGCAAGCCAGCATAATGTGACTTGATGCTGGTTTTGCGGGTGACCAGTTTATTTGTCCAAAACACAGCGAAGCAAAAACACAATGAAGGCTGGTCACCAGTGAAAACACAAAGAAGGCTGGTCACCAGTGAAAACACAATGAAGGCTGGTCACCAGTGAAAACACAAAGAAGGCTGGTCACCAGTGAAAACACAACGAAGGCTGGTCACCAGTGAAAACACAAAGAAGGCTGGTCACCAGTGAAAACACAAAGAAGGCTGGTCACCAGCCTATGCTGGTCTATGCTGTTTTTTTGTCAGCAGGGCTATTCTCTACATAGTGCACTATTTTTGACCAGAGCCGGGTTGGTGCAATTTAGGACACAGCCAAAGACAATAGTGAACCTAAGTGAACAGATAAGAGGAGTAAAATGGAGGGCTCAGTCAGCAGTTTATAATACATTCTGTGTGTGACGCCGTGTTAGCTGATAAATAGTCATTCATTTCATCAGGGTTTAATGACGTATGAGATATATAGCACAGAGCAACACTCTCCCCTTAATTAATATGCAAGCATGCATGTGTGTGTGTGCTTGTGCGTGTGTGTAATGCCTTCTCTGTCTCTGTCTGGCTGTATCCTGCTCTCTCACTGTAGCCCAAACGTAATGAGATTAACTAGATTAAATGACACTGGTGAGATGGCAGATGATCATTTCCCGTTTGGGTGGTTGATTTGCATCTCGTCACACCCTGAATTGAGCTGCGATCTCGTTATGGGGTTGTGGAATTAGGGGGTTGTGATATTAGGGCAGGGGTGAAAGTATAATTAATGTATTCCCGTAGGGCCTAATCATAGAATTACATATAGAATCCCTATTAATTCAATAGGATCTCTGTGGGCCTAGTCATACAGATTTGTCATATCACTTTTAAAATGTACAGTTGAAGTCGGAAGTTTACATACACCTTAGCCAAATACATTTAAACTCAGTTTTTACAATTCCTGACATTTAATCCTAGTAAAAATTCCCTGTCTTAGGTCAGTTAGGATCACCACTTTATTTTATGAATGTGAAATGTCAGAATAATAGTAGAGAGAATGATTTATTTAAGCTTTTATTTATTTCATCACATTCCCAGTGAGTCAGAAGTTTACATACACTCAATTAGTATTTGGTAGCATTGCCTTTAAATTGTTTAACTTGGGTGAAACGTTTCGGGTAGCCATCCACAAGCTTCCCACAATAAGTTGGGTGAATTTTGGCCCATTCCTCCTGACAGAGCTGGTGTAACTGAGTCAGGTTTGTAGGCCTCCTTGCTCGCACACACAGTTTTCATATTTTCTATAGGATTGAGGTCAGGGCTTTGTGATGGCCACTCCAATACCTTGACTTTGTTGTCCTTAAGCCATTTTGCCACAACTTTGGAAGTATGCTTGGGGTCATTGTCCATTTGGAAGACCCATTTGCGACCAAGCTTTAACTTCCTGACTGATGTCTTGAGATGTTGCTTCAATATATCCACATCATTTTCCTTCCTCATGATGCCATCTATTTTGTGAAGTGCACCAGTCCCTCCTGCAGCAAAGCACCCCCACAGCATGATGCTGCCACCCCCGTGCTTCACGGTTGGGATGGTGTTATTCGGCTTGCAAGCAATCCCCTTTTTCCTCCAAACATAACGATGGTCATTATGGCCAAATAGTTCTATTTTTGTTTCATCAGACCAGAGGACATTTCTCCAAAAAGTACGATCTTTGTCCCCATGTGCAGTTGCAAAGCGCTTTTTTATGGCGGTTTGGAGCAGTGGCTTCTTCCTTGCTGAGTGGCCTTTCAGGTTATGTCGATATAGGACTCGTTTTAATGTGGATATAGATACTTTTGTACCTGTTTCCTCCAGAATCTTCACAAAGTTATTTGCTGTTGTTCTGTGATTGATTTGCACTTTTCGCACCGAAGTACATTCATCTCTAGTAGACAGAATGCGTCTCCTTCCTGAGCGGTATGACGGCTGCGTGGTCCCATGGTGTTTATACTTGCGTACTATTGTTTGTACAGATGTTCATGTGGTACCTTCAGCGTTTGGAAATTGCTCCCAAGGATGAACCAGACTTGTGGAGGTCTACAATATATTTTCTGAGGTCTTGGCTGATTTCTTTTGATTTTCCCATGATGTCAAGCAAAGAGGCACTGAGTTTGAAGGTAGGCCTTGAAATACATCCACAGGTACACCTCCAATTGACTCAAATGATGTCAATTAGCCTATCAGAAGCTTCTAAAGCCATATCATAATTTTCTGGAATTTTCCAAGCTGTTTAAAGGCACAGTCAACTTAGTGTATGTAAACCTCTGACCCACTGGAATTGTGATACATTGAATTATAAGTGAAATAATCTGTCTGTAAAGTTGTTGGAAAAATTACTTGTGTCATGCACAAAGTAGATGTCCTAACCGACTTGCCAAAACTATAGTTTGTTAATAAGAAATGTGTGAAGTGGTTGAAAAACGAGTTTTAATGACTCCAACCTAATTATATGTAATCTTCCGACTTCAACTGTATTACTTTTATTGTGGGAAAAACACAATCAGTCAGGATTTTTTCATCTGATTGTCAAACAATCACTTCAAAGGGCTCCTTTACTAGGCTACGAGTGCACGTTCATCCACTCGCAACATATTTCCAGCCTCCAAACAGTGGTGAATGGAAAGAGACATCTGTTACACAAAACACCACAAAGTGTAATAACATTTGGCGATTGTCATTAGGCCAGAATATATGCATCCACTGCTGTCCGTGCGCGTCTCGGTGTCGGCCACTCATTTCTGCCTTGGCAAAATATCAGTGTTCTCGTGGAACCACATCACATTTTGGATCGTAGGCTATACCACCCATTTTCAAGTCCATTCGCTCATTTACCATGCCTCTGACAACCGGTAATGATAAAAAGTGACGTAATAGCCTACAGTTTTCTAGACATTTTGTTTTAATTATTGCGATAGGCTCATGATTTACTGGTACAGTGTACCCCCACTATTTATTTTGCCGGGACACTGTACCGTACCACCTTACTTTCACCCCTGTTGTGTCTTTAGGGAGTTGTTGTGGTGTAGAGAAGGCTGTGTCCTTAGGGGGGTTGTGGTGGTGGCTTGGATAAGGCAGAGGTCACAGAGGGTAAGGAGTATTTCACCTTCCCCAGGGGATTAGCATGATCCTGTCACTCTGGGACTCTTTCTGTTATGGAGGCATCATCATTAAGAAATACATGGGCTATGGTTGTAGTCTGTCTTTCTGTACACTTTAATGGTGTGGCAGAATCAGAGGTCAGAGGTCAGAGAGGAGACTCACCTTCCCCAAAGGATCAGCATCCTCTGTCACTCTGGGACTCTGGGACTGGCATTATAGAAGCATTAGCATTCTATTATGCTCACGTAACAGCTAGTTATGTTCTCAATAATGATTTCAACAATTCAAACTACATTCGAGTGACCTTCTCAGGGCAAATTTGAGATTGTTCTGGTGTATTAGTAAATGAATACGCGACCAAACGGCCATCCATCATTAACACCATGTGTGAACAGCCTTCTAGCCATTTGGACACTTCTCTGGCAGATGGGGGTTGTGATGACACTTGGCTCAATACATTGCTTGCTGTCCCTATTATGATGAAGACACTCCCCTGGCTTTTGGCTTGGCTCAATAATACCGTCCCCAGATCTGTTAATATCAGCTGTCTAACTGTGCAATGGAAACTTTAAGAGTATTGTATGATGGGTATTGAGAATTTTTATGAGTAAAAGATTGTTTGGTAATATTTGGATATGATGTGTTTGTGACAGGACCTCAGATTCGAGAGTGATTGTTGGCTTTAGCTCCCAGAGCTCATGTTTATTCGGTGTTTTCCAGTGTCAGCCATATGCAGAAAATATCTACTGTACTGTGTGTAGAAGTGGATGAGTGAAGGCATCGCTAGGAGCAGCAGTGTTTCATGCGTGTATTCACGAGTGAGACATCTCTTCTAAAATCTGTCTTTTTAAGTCTTCTGTTTGTCAAATTTTTCTGTTTTTTACTATAATGGAACTGTAATCCAACATTCGATCATAGACTTGCATGCTCTTGACAGCACCAAGAAAGGCAGCTCCCTTGGGGGAGTCGATATACACTGAGTGTTCAAAACATAAGGAACACTGCTCTTTCCATGGCATAGACTGGCCAGGTGAATCCAGGTGAAAGCTATGATCCCTTATTGATGTCACCTGTTAAATCCACTTCAATCAGTGTAGCTGAAGGGGAGGAGACAGAATAATGAAGGATTTTTTAAGCCTTGAGACAATTAAGACATGGATTGTGTATGTGTGCCATTCAGAGGGTGAATGGGCAAGACAAAATATTTAAGTGCCTTTGAACGGAGTATGGTAGTAGGTGCCGGGCACACCGGTTTGAGTGTGTCAAGAACTGCAACGCTGCTGGGTTTTTCACGCTCAACAGTTTCCCATATCTATCAAGAATGGTCCACAGCCCAAACGACATCAAGCCAACTTGACACAACTGTGGAGTCAACATGGGCCAGCATCCCTGTTGAACGCTTTCGACACCTTGTAGAGTCCATGCCCCGACGAATTGAGGTTGTTCTGAGGGCAAAAGTGGGTGCAACTCAATATTACAAAGGTATTTCTAATGTTTTGTCAACTCAGTGTACATGCTTATGATGCAGGGTCGCTACAGTACAATGCATTCTGTACTGGGTGTGTGATTAGCCTAGCTAGAAGCTGGGGGATAGATTTCTATGTGCAGAGGATTCCAGCCGGTTGGTGCTTAGGATTCCAGCCAAGTTTAACCATATTTTATGGGCTCTGGTCAAAAGCAGTGCACTAAATAGGGAATAGGGTGTCATTTGGGACGCAACCATGGTTTTGATCAGTTTAGACAGAAGGCTACAACATGCTGTGTCGTTAAGACGAACAGTCTCTTTGGCAAACCTTAGTGTTTATCGCTGCATTGTTCCAGCAGCACAATACCCTCATGATTTATGTACTTAACAGTAATGATCTGTTTATCACCAGTGACATAAAGAGGAGATGCATTCACAATACTACTAACTAGATTAATTCCTCGTACACAAACACACACACACATACACACATATTATGTCTATCTCCGATAAGCTACCCAGGAAAGGGCTAAGAATAGCCGATATTAATATATGTAGCCTTAGAAATAAGGTTCATGAAATCAATAACTTGCCAACATCGGATAACATTCATATACTGGCCATCTCTGAAACTCACTAAGATAATTCCTTTGATGATATAGCAGCAACAATGCAAGGATATAATATCTACAGAAAAGACAGGAATCGGGGAGGTTTTTCTGTTTATGTTCAGAGCCATATTCCTGTAGAGCTTAGAGAGGATCTCATGTCAAATGTTGTTGAAGTGTTGTGGTTGCAAGTTCACCTGCCTCATCTAAAGCCTTTGGGGTGCTGCTATAGGCCACCAAGTGCTAACAGTCAGTATTTGGATAATATGTGTGCAATGCTTGATAATGTGTGTGATGTCAACAGAGGTCTATTTTCTGGGTGACCTGAACATTGACTGGTTAGCAACTAGCTGTCCTCTCAAGAGGAAGCTTCTAATTGTGACAAATGCCTGTAATATGACTCAGGTTATTACTCAACCAACTAGAGTGCATACCAATAGTGTTGGATCCATAGAGATCATATTAAATTACTAGAGAGGCTATGTCATAAACCCTCAAAGTTCCATAATGGGGCAAAGATTACAGCCATCTTGGTCAGGGAGAAATCCAAAACAGTCTAATTGGAATGAATGGCAGTAGAGGCATAATCCTGATTTTACATATGCAGGAAAATAAAAGTGAGGCATGTGATGTATCAGAAATTGTGTAATGGAATAATAGTCAACCTAAAATATTGTCATACAATTATAAATACAGTTTATACAGGTTCTATACCAATTTCCGGTATAAATAGCCTCTAAAATATATGTAAACAGACCATAAATGTCTCCAGATTTTGTTTTATTGGAAAACTGTGAGTGCTATTATGATACAATATCAGTACTTGTTGCATTTACAACTTGTCTAAGTCCTATCATCAACTGAACCAGTGTATGGATGTGGATTGACTGCATCGTTGAATGGAATGTTGTCATATTGGCAGTTAATTAGAGCATTTTATGGAATCATTCCTCTAAAACTGGCTGGCTAGCTAGCTAACACACATACAGTGCAGATAAATTATTCACATTCATTGTTTTACACTATATCTTATGACAGCACTGGCAAACTATGGTTGACCAACTCCCTGACCAACATGGCTGACCTTTGGACCATCATAAGAAGGTTTACATAAATTGTAGTATTCTAATTCCTAATTATATGGTTGGATCTGTGACATCCACTTGTATTCATCATATCTTCACTAATGCTGCAGAGCTTTGCTCCAAAGCAATATCAGTTCCCATTGGCTATAGTGACCATAACTTTGTGGCAATAACAAGGAAAGCCAAAGTGTCAAAGGTTGGGCCTAAAGTAATTCATAAGAGATTATACAAAATGTTTTATTTTGTTGAAGATGTAAAAAATGTATGTTGGTCTGATGTGTAGAGGAAGTGAATCCAGATGCAGCACTGGAAGTGTTTGTAAAATGATTCATGCCAATTGTTGAAACCCATGCACCTGTTAAGAAACTAACTGTGAGAACTGATTGGGGATCCAAATCAATAAATAAATAACATTGAACAGTGAACCATCATATTTTTGTATAAAATATCTAATAATGAAAGAGAAGGATTGCTGTATTGAATTTGGTCAAGTTAGTGTGGGAGATGTGGGACAACTATTTTTATTCATCAATAATGATAAGCCACCAGGTATAGACAACTTTGATGGGAAGCTATTGAGAATGGTAGCAGACTGTATTGCCACCCCTATTTGCTATATCTTTAACCAAAGCCTAAAGGAGTGTGTGTGTCCACAGGCGTGGAAGGAAGCTAAAGTAATTCCACTGGCTAAAAATAGTAAGGCACCCTTTGCTGGCTCTAACTGCCACCCAATCAGTTTGCTGCCTGCTCTTAGTAAACTGATGGAGAGGATTGTGTTTGACCAAATACAATGCAATTTTTCAGAGAACAAGTTAACTACTGACCTTCAGCATGCATATAGAGAAGGGCACCCAACTTGTACTGCACTGACTCAGATGACTGATGATTGGTTAAAATAAACGGATTATAAGATGATAGTTGGAGCTGTATTGTTAGATTTCAGTGTAGCCTTTGATGTTATTGATCATATTGTTATTGAAAAAACTTGCCATGGCTTTACATCACCTGCCATCACATGGTTGGAGAGTTATTTATCCAATAGAACCCAGAGAGTGTTCCTCAATGGAAGCTTCTCTAACATCAGACATGTACAGTGCGGTGTCCCTCAGGGCAGTTGCCTTGGGCTGTTACTCATCTCTATTTTTACAAATGATTTGCCACTGGTCTTACACGAAGCTAGAATGACTATGTATGCGCATGATTCCACACTCTACATGTCAGCTCCCAAAGCCAGTGAGCTCACAGAAATTCTATTTTAAGGAGTTACAGTCAGTATCAGAATGGGTGATAAATAATAAACCGGTCTTAAAGATACCCTATGCAGAAAACTCTCCGGCATTTCCTGGTTGCTAGAATTATAATAGTTTCAGTTTATGTGACAAAATAAGCAAGTATAATATAGAGAATCATTTTACCATCTAAACCGCTGTGAAATATATTTTACATACCCAAAAATATTGTATTTTCAGCTGTTTGAAACTGGTGTACAAAACTGAAAGTAAAAGAAGCAAAAACGAAACTTAAGAATGGGAACATAGAAATAGCGCATATAGAACCTATCTACCTATTCTTAGATTTGCTTTCAATGGCAATGATAGATCTGTAATTCATATTTCTATACTGAACAAAAATCTAAACGCAACATGCAACAATTTCAAAGATTTTACTGAGTTACAGTTCAAATAAGGAAATTAGTCAATTGAAATATATAAATTAGGCCCTAATCTATGGCTCTCACATGACTGGGGAGCCAGGCCCTGCCAATAAGAATTAGTTTTTCCCCACAAAAGGGCTTTATTACAGACATAAATATTCCTATTTCTGTGGCATTGTGTTTTGTGACAAAACTGCACATTTTAGAGAGGCCTTTTATTGTCCCCAACACAAGGTGCACCTGTGTAATGATCATGCTGTTTAATCAGCTTCTTGAAATGCCACACCTGTCAGGTGGATGGATTATCTTGGCAAAGTAGAAATGGTCACTAACAGGGATGTAAACACATTTGTGCACAACATTTGAGAAAAATACGTTTTTTGTGTGTATGGAAAATTTCTTGGATCTTTTATTTCAGCTCATGAAACATGGGACCAACACTTTACATGTTGCGTTTATATTTTTGTTTAGTGTATATTAATTTAGTTACATATTGCAGCTTTAAATACATCTAAAACTAACAGCATTGTATTTGGTTCAAAACATTTTCTAAGACCTAAACCTCAACTGGAGTTGTGCATAAAGGGTGTGACTAGGGCTGTTACGGTGACCGTATTACTGCCACACTAGCTGTCACAAACGCAGTCAAATTCCACTTGAACGTGTAGTCACGGTAACTAGGCTTCTCGAAAACTGTGCTCTGATGCTGCTAATGGTCATTAGTAGCCTACCAAACTTGCTAACTGCCTGTCGCCTAATGGCATGTCACTCTAATCACTCTCTAATCATTCTGGCATCAATGCAAATGCAATCGAAAATCTAATCAAACACTTCATAAGAGCCCATGAGCTCATGTTGCACAACATTTCTATAGGCTACGCAATTGCGTGAGAAAAAATAGTTTTGATGGCCTCTATTAAAAAGAGGATCCCATCATCTTTCTATAGGCTAGGCCTACTATATTTATTTCTCAACTTTCCTAATATTAAGCACATTGCTTTACTTTACAACGGGAGTTGCCTACCTGGCTGGCATGAAAATGAACCATGGGAAAAGCGTCCTCGATTCGCTATTTAAGTGCATACAGATGACGTATTTTTTCCCCCCAGTTCGGACAGGTGCATGATAATGGTCCATTCTAAATCAAAACTAATTCCACACATATATTTAGTATACACTACCGGTCAAAAGTTTTAGAACACCTATTCGTTCAAGGGTTTTTCTTTATTTTCTAAATAGTGAAGACATCAAAACGTTAAGATAACGCATATGGAATCATGTAGTAACCAAAAAAGTGTTAAACAAATCAAAATATATGTTATATTTGAGATTCAATTCAAGGTCAAGCCCTGTCTGGACCCTGGTGCGGGAGGCCCCGACCCTGGAGAGGGGCTGACTTCTGGGTCTGAAGTGGAGCCGCTAACCGGAGCAGAACTGGACCCAGGTGGAGCGGACTGCTCTGGCTCCGGAGTGGAGCCGCTGACCGGAGCTGGCTTGGGCACCGGTGGAGCGGACTGCTCTGGCTCCGGAGTGGATCCGCTGACCGGAGCTGGACTAGGCACCGGTGGAGCGGACTGCTCTGGCACCGGAGTGGAGCAGCTGACCGGAGCTGGACTGGGAACACTAACTACTGGTCTGGTGCGAGGAGCAGGCACGGGTCGTGCCGGACTGGAGACACGCACCACTGGTTTGGTGCGAGGAGCAGGTACGGGCCATACTGGACTGGACACGCGCACCACTGGTTTGGTACGGGGAGCAGGTGCGGGGCGTACCGGGCTGGCGACACGCACCACTGGTTTGGTGCGGGGAGCAGGTACGGGCTGGACTGGATACACGCACCACTGGTTTGATGCGGCGAGCAGGTACGGGGCTTACCGGGCTGGCGACAGGCACCACTGGTTTGGTGCGGGGAGTAGGTACGGGCCGTACTGGACTGGATACGCGCACCACTGGTTTGGTGCGGGGAGCAGGTACGGGGCGTACCGGGCTGGCGACAGGCACCACTGGTTTGGTGCGAGGAGCTGGCACAGGCTGTACCGGACTGTGGAGGCGCACTGGAGGTCTGGAGCTTAGAGCTGGCACAACCCGTCCTGGCTGGATGGCCACTTTCGCACGGCACGTGCGGGGCGCTGGCACAGTACGCACTGTGCTGTGAACACGCACTGGCGACACAGTGCGTAGGACTGGCACAGGATATACTGGACCATGGAGGCGCACTGGAGACCAGGAGCGTTGAGCCGGCACAACCCGTCCTGGCTGGATGCCCACTTTCGTACGACACGTGCGGGGCACTGGCACAGGACGCACTGGGCTGTGAATGCGCACTGGTATCTCCGCATACCTAGGTTCCTCAATGAACACACGCTCCTTTTGTTGCCTGACCAGCCCCTCTCTCCGTGCATCCACCACTTCCTTCTCCCTACGGGCCTCCTGCAGCGCCTCCTCTTGAAGGGATCTCTCCTGCTCTATCCCCGCTATCAGCCCCCGTAATGTGGTGGCCTCCTCTCTTAAACTGCAGATCCGCCCTTTCACGGCCTCCTGCTGCCTCGTCGTTCACCCCGTGTGCACCCCCAAAAAAATTTCTTGGGGCTGCTTCTCGGGCTTTCTTCGTGACCGAGTCCTTTTGAGTCGCCGTTTCTCCTCTCCTGCCTGGGCTTCCTCCTTCACCCAGGGTCCTCTACCAGCCAATATCTCCCCCCAAGTCCAATATGTCTTTCCCACCTGTGTCCAGGGTGTCTGCTACTCCTGGGCACGCTGCTTGGTCCTTGTTTGGTGGGATCTTCTGTCACGATCGTTGAGAGACGGGTCAGACCAAGGTGGCAGCGTGGTATGCGTACATGTTTATTAAGATGAATAAACACTTTACAAAATAACAAAACAACGAAACGTGAAGCTCAAACAGTGGCTACACACAACAAGCCAAACACGAGTCAAGATCCCACAACTAAGGTAGGCAAAATGGCTACCTAAGTATGATCCCCAATCAGAGACAACGATCGACAGCTGCCTCTGATTGGGAACCACACCCGGCCAACATAGATCTACACATACTAGAACCTAAACATAGAATCTAATAACATAGATCTCAAACAACACTCACACCCTGACCCAACCAACAAGAGTTCTCTCGATCAGGGCGTGACACTGGCATAGGCCTACATAGGCACGTGAGTTTCAAGTTTGGGGAAGAAAATGTTCACCATAGAAATGCACCTTTATAATAAAGCATTACATGCGTCATCGCATTTGCAGACGTATGTAAGATAGCCTACTATTTGTGATGTGATGAGTAGATTGGATAGTCATAATTTAGGCTAATAATATAACTCGATCACTGTTTGCAAAATATACCGTTCAATGCATGGCTGAGCATGTATAGCTTAGAGTAGGCCTAGGCTATATCAGATATGTTTCTTATTTCTTTGCAAGGTAAAAATGTGGCCTTTTATAAACACATTTCATGCAATTCTACTACACTTTAAATGACTGGAGACATTAGCAGAATCTTTTTTAATACGACAAATTAAAGGGTTGGCTACTTTGCTGACACTGACAAACAGATCAATAAAAGTGACATTGTCCATATAATAGGCCTATGAGAAGGGGAGACACAAATAGAATATGACGTCCATCTAAACTGGAGGAGGAAATGTATTGTCCAAAAACAAACTTTTAAGTAGCACTTACCCAACAATGGTAAATAGTGAATTTGCGCAGTACTCGCTGGGGATATTACCGATGCTCTCCACTGGTGCCAATAAGATAGGCTCTACTGTTGTTCTCTCAATTAAATTGTGAATTTTTAATATTAAAAGACAGATTAGTCTTTTCAATGTCTTTTCTTTACAGCTATAACCATTTTCTTTCCAAACTATGTTTTCCTGTGATTGTATTTTGAAATATTGCGAGATGCCTGGGTTGACCTCTCTACTTAGCATGCGTTGCCTTTCCTTCTGACTGTAGGCAATGCGATTTAAAACAATCCACAACTCATATTTTTTAAGAATCATCCTCTGTGGACAAATCAAGCTCTAGTAGTCTATTTTGAATGATTTTATTTATTTCTGTATAGAGAGGAGTAGGCTAGTTAGGTTAAATCATTTTGGCAATTTAATTCACTTTACTTTAGGGAAATTTTCCCCTAGCCTTATCGTAACCACACGTAACCTCCATTCGCTATTCGAGTGCAGGCTATGGATGACATGTTTTGTTTTTGTGCACCATTCGAAATAAAACATAATTCCACACATATAGGCTATTAGTAGGCTATATGTAAAAAAACAGATTCAATTAAGAATAGTCTGATGGGTGAGAATATTATAAAGTGCTTGTCAAATTGTGAATAAGAGACTGATGAAGTGTGTGCAGCCTGCGCAAGAAACAAAGCAGAGCTCATGCCTTTCATGCAACTTTTTTCAAATCATCATTAGAGTCGCATCATGCAGCCTTAGAATGTATTAAAAATCTAAACATATAGCCCAATGTTTGTATCACAACTAAAGTTGCATAAATAACTCTACATTATGCACATAGGAGGACCTGTTTCTTTGTTAACCGCTCAACATAGAATAGCCGCATGTGAGCACCTCAGAAATCGTTTAGGGGAAAATATCCTTTCTATTTTATTCAGCTATGTTCAATTGTATTCTTCTTACTATAAAATAATATAAAATAATGCCACGGAATTCTAAGCAAATCTTGTCGGCATAGACAGATCAGGGCCTAACATAAGGACAACTCAGAATATGCTATTCGGTTTTTCTGAAATGGGCTATATTTTCTTCATATCATGTTTCTTTAGACCTGTCTAAAGTAAATAATGGATTAATTGTGATGGTGTAGGCTTGTTTAAATTGATTTATTAGACTTTTTGATAAAATGTAGATGTTCCAAAGGTCCACATCAGTGGCTTGTAGGCTATGCGTGGAAGCCAGGAAATGCTAAACATGTTTATGTTAATTCACGGTCAATTACCGTGAGACCGGCAGCTATTTGCATGACAATCACCGGCTGACGAAATGTCATGACCATCACAGCCGAGGTGTGGCCATTGAGCAAGTTGAGGAAGCTAAACTTAGTGTACAAGTATAACATTGGATGGTCAATGATCATGGTCAAGTCATATAGACAATGTTCTTGTAAAGATGGGGAGGGGTATGCCTGTTATAAAAATATGTTCTGCGTTTTTGACACAAAAATCAACTGTACTAATTGTTCAGGCTCTGGTCTTGTCCCATCTTGATTACTGTCTGATAATATGGTCAAGTGCAGCAAAGAAAGACCTAGCAAAGCTGCAACTGGCTCAAAACAGAGCAGCACACCTTGCCCTTAACTGCACATACAGAACTAACATCAACAACATGTATGCCAGTCTTTCCTGGTTGAGGGTTGACTAGAGATGAACTGCTTCTCTACTAGTTTTTATGAGAAATATTACTGTGATTAAAATTCCAGATTGTCTGCATAATCAAATAACATACAGCTCAGACACCCATACATACCCATACATACCCCACAAGACATGCCACCAGGGGTCTCTTCACAGTCCCCAAGTCCAAAACGAATTCTCAGCAATGCACAGTATTATACAGAGCCATGATCGCATGTCCCATCTTTCAATTACTTAAGCAAACAGCAACATTCATTTTTTTAAATAAAACAACACCTCATGGCACAATAGGGATTGGGAAATGACACATACACACAAACACACAATCTACACACATTATTCTTTAATTGTATTGTTTGTATATCGTTGTATTTTCGTTTGTGTGACTGTTCTTGTCTATCAGTCTATCAGTGTTGTGTTACTTGTCATCTTTTATGTTTTTGTGTAGACCCCAGGAAGAATAGCTGCTGCAAATAAACCAAACCCCACTCAAATGCACTCACGCACACACACACACACACTGTGTGTCTTTGCCATTAATGGACCCCCTCCTCCATTACTGACCAGGCCTGTGCAGTGAGCAGAGCAGCCTGTCAATACTGACAGCATATTTAACATTGTGTTATAGGAAAAGTAATAGACCTGATTGAGTGGCTTGAAATAATGATATATTAGACAACAGCACAGGGAACTACAGACTGGTTGAACACCTCAGTGACCACCTCTGAGCAGGAACTGTTCATTAGACAGCTGCACAGTATAATACAGGATGGTTGAAATACCACCAGAGACCTCCAAGCAGGAAATACTGAAAAACCTAGCCTACACCATACAACAAGGAATGCCACGGCTAATGGAACTGAAGATAGAGTGCATTTGGAAAGTGTTCAGACTTTTGGCTTTTTCCACATTTTGTTACGTTTCAGCCTTATTCTAAAATTGATTAAATATTTTAATTCAATAGTTTTCCTCATCAATCTACACACAATACCCCATAATGACAAAGAAAAAGAAAACAGGTTTTTAGACATTTTTGCAAATGTATTTTTTTTTAACCCGGAAATATAACATTTACATAAGTATTCAGACCCTTTACTCAGTTCTTTGTTGAAGCACCTTTGGCAGCGATTACAGCCTCGAGTCTTCTTGGTTATGACACTACAAGCTTGGCACACCTGTATTTGGGGAGTTTCTCCCATTCTTCTCTGCAGATCCTCTCAAGCTCTGTCAGGTTGGATGGGGAGCGTCACACCCTATCTTCAGGTCTCTCCAGAGATGTTAGATCGGGTTCAAGTCCGGGCTCTGGCTGGGCCACTCAAGGACATTCAGAGACTTACATTTACGTAATTTAGCAGACGCTCTTATCCAGAGTTAGTTAGTGAGTGCATGCATAATTTTTTATACTGGCTCCCCGTGGGAATCGAACCCACAACCCTGGTGTTGCAAACGCCATGCTCTACCAACTGAGCTACATCCCTGGGTTGTCTTGGCTGTGTGCTTAGGGTCGTTGTCCTGTTGGAAGGTGAACCTTCGCCCCAGTCTGAGGTCCTTAGCGCTCTGGAGCAGGTTTTTATCAAGGATCGCTCAGTACTTTGCTCCGTTCATCTTTCCCTCAATCCTGACTAGTCTCCCAGTCCCTGCCGCTGAAAAACATCCCCACAGCATGATGCTGCCACAACCATGCTTCACCGTAGGGATGGTGCCAGGTTTCCTCCAAACGTGACGCTTGGCATTCAGGCCAAAGAGTTCAATTTTGGTTTCATCAGACCAGAGAATCTTGTTTCTCATGGGCTGAGAGTTTTTAGGTGTCTTTTGGCAAACTCCAAGCGGGCTGTCATGTGCCTTTTTACTGAGGAGTGGCTTCCGTCTGGCCACTCTACCATAAAGGCCTCATTGGTGGAGTGCTGCAGAGATGGTTGTCCTTCTCCACAGAGGAACTCTAGAGCACTATCAGAGTGACCATTGGGTTCTTGGTCAAGGCCCTTCTCCCCCGATTACTCAGTTTGGCCGGGTGGCCAGCTCTAGGAAGAGTCTTGGTGGTTCCAAACTTCTTCCATTTAAGAATGATGGAGGCCACTGTGTTCTTGGGGTCCTTCCATGCTGCAGAAATTTTTTGGTACCCTACCCCAGATCTGTGCCTCGATACAATCCTGGCTCTACGGACAATTCCTTCGACCTCATGGCTTGGTTTTTGCTCTGACATGCACTGTCAACTGTAGGACCTTATACAGTGGGGGAAAAAAGTATTTAGTCAGCCACCAATTGTGCAAGTTCTCCCACTTAAAAAGATGAGAGACGCCTGTAATTTTCATCATAGGTACACGTCAATTATGACAGACAAAATGAGGAAAAAAAATCCAGAGAATCACATTGTAGGATTTTTTATGAATTTATTTCCAAATTATGGTGGAAAATAAGTATTTGGTCAATAACAAAAGTTTCTCAATACTTTGTTATATACCCTTTGTTGGCAATGACACAGGTCAAACGTTTTCTGTAAGTCTTCACAAGGTTTTCACACACTGTTGCTGGTATTTTGGCCCATTCCTCTATGCAGATCTCCTCTAGAGCAGTGATGTTTTGGGGCTGTCGCTGGGCAACACGGACTTTCAACTCCCTCCAAAGATTTTCTATGGGGTTGAGATCTGGAGACTGGCTAGGCCACTCCAGGACCTTGAAATGATTCTTACGAAGCCACCCCTTCGTTGCCTGGGTGTTTGGGGTCATTGTCATGCTGAAAGACCCAGCCACGTTTCATCTTCAATGCCCTTGCTGATGGAAGGAGGTTTTCACTCAAACTCTCACAATACATGGCCCCATTAATTATTTCCTTTACACGGATCAGTCATCCTGGTCCCTTTGCAGAAAAACAGCCCCAACTCATGATGTTTCCACCCCCATACTTCACAGTAGGTATGGTGTTCTTTGGATGCAACTCAGCATTCTTTGTCCTCCAAACACGACGAGTTGAGTTTTTACCAAAAAGTTCTATTTTGGTTTCATCTGACCATATGACATTCTCCCAATCCTCTTCTGGATCATCCAAATGCACTCTAGCAAACTTCAGATGGGCCTGGACATGTACTGGCTTAAGCAGGGGGACACGTCTGGCATTGCAGGATTTGAGTCCCTGGCGGCGTAGTGTGTTACTGATGGTAGGCTTTGTTACTTTGGTCCCAGCTCTCTGCAGGTCATTCACTAGGTCCCACCGTGTGGTTCTGGGATTTTTGCTCACCGTTCTTGTGATCATTTTGACCCCACGGTGTGAGATCTTGCGTGGAGCCCCAGATCGAGGGAGATTATCAGTGGTCTTGTATGTCTTCCATTTCCTAATAATTGCTCCCACAGTTGATTTCTTCAAACCAAGCTGCTTACCTATTGCAGATTCATTCTTCCCAGCCTGGTGCAGGTCTACAATTTTGTTTCTGGTGTCCTTTGACAGCTCTTTGGTCTTGGCCATAGTGGAGTTTGGAGTGTGACTGTTTGCGGTTGTGGACAGGTGTCTTTTATACTGATAACAAGTTCAAACAGGTGCCATTAATACAGGTAACGAGTGGAGGACAGAGGAGCCTCTTAAAGAAGGAAGTTACAGGTCTGTGAGAGCCAGAAATCTTGCTTGTTTGTAGGTGACCAAATACTTATTTTCCACCATAATCTGCAAATAAATTCATAAAAAATCCTACAATGTGATTTTCTGGATTTATTTTTCTCAATTTGTCTGTCATAGTTGACGTGTACCTATGATGAAAATTACAGGCCTCTCTCATCTTTTTAAGTGGGATAACTTGCACAATTGGTGGCTGACTAAATACTTTTCCCCCCCCACTGTATAGACAGGTGTGTGCCTTTCCAAATCATGTCTAATCAATTGAATTTACCACAGGTGGACTCCATTCAAGTTGTAGAAACATCTCAAGGATGATCAATGGAAACAGGATGCACCTGAGCTCAATTTAGAGTCTCATAGCAAAGGGTCTGAATACTTATGTAAATAAGGCATTTATTTTCTTCTCTTTTTTATAGATTTGCAAACATTTCTAGAAACCTGTTGTTACTTTTCATTATTGGGGTATTGTGTGTAGATTGCTGAGAAAAAAAAAAATCTAATGCATTTTAGAATAAGGCTGTAACGTAACAAAATGTGGAAAAATTAAATAGGTCTGAATCCTTTCCGAAGGCACTGTATCTAATCACCTTCAATGTCAGTCAGACCTCAGTACTTTGCCATGTTTTTCTGGGTTGTTGCATTTCTATTTTAAGGGTTGTGGTTTCATACACTATATCAGGCCAGTCATTGAGTCATGAAGAGATGCTGACTTCATGACTTTGCCAAGTTCAGATCAACTTGTTGGAGAGTTGTATCCCTGGGGTTAAGGAGTTGTTACAGCATACTTTAATGAACGTTAGGGGAAGATGTAGATTTCCGCCTAAATAGACATGCCCCAAGGTAATTATTTTTCATGACTTGGCTATAAACAATAACTAGTAATGCAGCATCGTTTTAGAAAGTTCTGGAACTCACCTTTCTGGTAACAATACTTATACATTGCTTAGGTGTATTCACTTTTGAGGACACAAGCTCAAGTACATAGTACAAATATTATGAAAATATGAAAAATCATATATGATGTTTTTCCTATTCAACAAAAGTGGGGTAATAGGGCATGAAATGACTAAAATGATTTCTAGAGATAGTAACAATCAAATTTAAAATGATTTACCATAAGATTTCACCTTTCTTATAACATTCTAATAAATATGATCACACTTAATGACAGTACAATATTGGCACCATTTCATAAAACTGACGACAGAGACTTTTCTCCAAAACGTCCTTTGAGCAATGCAAAGACATCATTCAAATGGCTGCAGACTCGTTACAACTTCATCTTTAATCACAAAGTGATTTTGTCCTTCTGTGACCAAGAGAAAGTGGTCTTGTTTAAATTCTACTAAATTATTTTGTAGTTTTTCATGTTGAAAGCTCTGAGAACATGACAGCGAAATGAGACTGCTTTTGCTAAAATCGCTAGACTCTTCCGTTTCATTCGTATCGCAATCGGAGCTGCGTGCTCCACAACCAGAGCAAAACATATCCTTTGTCTGGATAGGCCAGAAAATGTGACGTATCGCTTGCAATGCAAATGAGGTGTCAGATTTCACATACTGGATCTCATCGGCGTGTGGGAGACAGCATTAGAAGTGGGACAACCAGACCTTTCACAGAGTGCACAGGCATGGATACTGTGTCTTTCACAGAGTGCGCTGTACACAGAAATGTCTGTCGGAACTGGTCCAGAACCACTCAAGGTCCCCTAAATAGTCGCCCTAATGGCTAAGAAGCTTTAGTTAAGGTTGTGATTTTAATATTTCTGTCCAGTCTTTGAGTGATGAAGGGATGTTGACTTTGCCAAGATTAGATCAGCTTGATAGTGAGTTGTTGTTAAGAGATGTAACAGCCGTGGGAATACGTGTTGTTACACCTGTATTTTATGGCTGTGATGCTATGTTTCTGTCCAGTCATTGCGTGATGTAGCGATGTAGACTGTAACCTAGGTGTCTTGTCTTCTGTGTTGCAGGTGAACCAGGAAAATGTAGTGAAGGTGGGCCACAAACAGGTGGTCAATACGATACGACACGGGGGAAACCGGCTCATCATCAAAGTGGTGACGGTTAGCAGGAATCTGGACCCTGATGACACGGCCAGGAAGAAAGGTAAGCTTCTTATCCTCTCTCTCTCTCCCTCTCTCTCCCACCATGCTGCTCTGCCCTACACCGCCCGTCTGATTAGTTGGGGTGAATCCACAGTGAGGGTCCCAGCTAGCCCTCCAAACCAGAACTGGGTTTAAATTATTACAAATACTTCAAATGTGCTTGACCAATAGATAGGCCCAAAACTGCAAACCCCGCAGTCTAGGCAGGCTAGAGCAAATGTATTTTAAAGATTCCAAATAGTATTTGAACCCAGGCCTGTTCTAAACCCTCTTGGCTCGTCCTCATACTGTACCGTACTTTATCAGGAAGCTAGAGCGGTGACCACATTGCAGTTTTTCCTGATGACTGTGCTGATTTTCAGCCTTGAAGTTAAGACGGGGGTTTTACAGTTGGGGGCATTCAAAAAATGTGCCTGTACTGCAGCACAGGTAAAAACATTTCAAAGTTGATGTACTACATTAACTGTCAGGGGCATAATTTAGAAGGGCATTTTTAAGGTATTTTGTTAGATGATTGCTGAACTTGGAGCTTGCTTGGCGTCACCCTACGAGACTTGTGAAGTTGCTGAAGCGTTTTGAAAAGAAACTTTTTAATGCGCCCAGCTGTATACTGTAGCTCTCTCATCTGGGGCTTGTTCAGGATGATGTAACGTTACAGAACGCTCAGATAGAAATGTAGGCCTATTGCATAAAACAGAAAAGATTTTCTGTCAAATAGAATAGGGAATAGTGTCAGCTCTATTCATTATATCTTTATCTGCAACGTTCAGAGCACGTCCCTGAATGCACTCCTGCTTTTTCTGTGTTGTGTTGTTGCAGTGCCCACACCTCCTCGTAGGGCTCCCTCCACGGCCCTGTCCATGGCCATGCGCTCCAAATCCATGACATCAGAGCTGGAGGAGTTAGGTAAGAATCAGCAAAGCATCCATACATGGGAGATTATAATTCCAAGAGGTCAAATGCATTTTGTATCCACTTGGTTTGTCCTCTGTGTGTTTGTTTAGTGATGTTATTCTCTGGAAGACCTTTTTTTAAAAGTAATTGTGTCCTCCTGATTTGTTTTTCAATATCTGCGACTACAGTGGACAAAGGTACGCAGCATACAGTAGCTACTGTTTAGTCACAGCTGCTCGCAACTGTCTTAAAATAGTTTTGTTCTTTCATTTTTAAATGTTAATTTCCTCCATTTAATATAGTACTATATTTACTCTACTTTGAGGGGGCTCAGGCAATTATGTACTTTGTGAAAAGGCACAAAGGTGTTCTGCTCTGTACCATTTGATCTGAAGAGAGCTGGAGAGAAAACATTTTAACGACAGTGCGGTATCATCTAATGTGATAAAGAGCTCATTAGACAGCATGACTGATCGTTTTGAACAGCTTTGAACGATCATAACAATTGCATAATTCCATGCCATGTCATCATACACCTAACCTAATATGCTTTTGATTATTAATTTACTTAATTGTTGAATTTATTGTTATTGTTTGATTGATTTAACTCAGAGCCGTATACTGTATGTAAATAGCTTTGATTTAACTCACCATTTGAAAAAAACGTTTACCTTATTGTTGACTCATCTGTTGCTTATAACTGTTCTGCAGTAGATGTCTTTTGAAGGTCCAGTCATAGAAATAGCATGAAAGGGTTGATCATTCTACGTCTATGGGATGACCCACGGGGGGGCCAGTATGAAAAATGTATGCACTCACTAATTGTAAGTCGCTCTGGATAAGAGCGTCTGCTAATTGACTAAAATGTCAATTGGATCACAAAAAAATTTAATAAAAATACCGGTCATTCTATGTCTATGGGGCAGGTGTCATGTTTGGAAGCTTTTAAACATGTATACAATTGCTTAATGAAAATACACTATATATACAAAAGTATGTGGACACCCCTTCAAATGTGTGGATTCTGCAATTTCAGCCACACCTGTTGCTGACAGGTGTATAGAATCAAACACACAGCCATGCAATCTCCATAGACAAACATTGGCAGTAGAATGGCCTTACTGAAGAGCTCAGTGACTTTTAACGTGGCACCATCATAGGATGCCACCTTTCCAACAAGTATGTTCGTCAAATTTCTGCCCTGGTAGAGCTGCCCCCGGTCAACTGTAAGTGCTGTTATTCTGAAGTGGAAACGTCTAGGAGCAACAACAGCTCAGCCGCGAAGTGGTAGGCCACACAAGCTCACAGAACGGGACGCAGAGTGCTGAAGCGCGTAGCGCGTAAAAATCGTCTCTCCTCGATTGCCACATTCACTACTGAGTTTCAAACTGCCTCTGGAAGCAACGTCAGCACAATAACTGTTTGGGAGCTTCATGAAATGGGTTTCCATGGCCAAGCAGCCGCACACAAGCCTAAGATTACCATGCGCAATGCCAAGCGTCGGCTGGAGTGGTGTAAAGCTCGCCGGACTTTGGAGTAGTGGAAACGCGTTCTCTGGCATTCCGACTGACAAATCTGGGTTTGGCGGATGCCAGGAGAACGCTACCTGCCCCAATGCATAGTGCCAACTGTAACGTGTGGTGGAGGAGGAATAATGGTTTGGGGCTGTTTTTCTTGGTTCGGGCTAGACCCCTTAGTTCCAGTGAAGGGAAATCTTAACGCTACAGCATACAATGACATTCTAGACGATTCTGTGCTTCCAACTTTGTGCCAACAGTCTGGGGAAGTTCCTTCACTGTTTCAGCATGACAATGCCCCTGTGCACAAAGCGAGGTCCATACAGAAATGGTTTGTTGAGATCGGTGTGGAAGAACTTGACTGGCCTGCACAGAGCCCTGACCTCAACCCCATCGAACACCTTTGGGATGAATTGGAACGCAGACTGCGAGCCAGGCCTAATCGCCCAACAACAGTGCCAGACCTCAATAATGCTCTTGTGGCTGAATGGAAGCAAGTCCCCACAGTAATGTTCCAACATCTAGTGGATAGCCTTCTCAGAAGAGTGGAGGCTGTTATAGCAGCAAAGGGGAGACCAACTACATATTAATGCCCATGATTTTGGAATGAGATGTTCGACGAGCAGGTGTCCACATACTTTTGGTCATGTAGCGTATAAGTAGGCCTATATTTGGCAAAGTAGTGATGAGTAGGGGCGTTATATTATGCTGCTTTACATTACAAGATTCCACTATCTTTGCATAATAGCCTGTGTTCATGGTGAGAGATTATTTTTGTTGATTTCTTTTGATCATAAGTTCTTATATTCTCTTTTTTTTAAGCCACTTTGAGGAAAAAAGTGACCGGTGGTAAGTGTGATAGGCATGCTTTATACATGACATGTTATTTGTATGTCCATAGAATGTACAAAGTACTCTTTCTCTTATTCTCTAGATTCTTATTTCTTTATCAACACAATTTGTACAATTTACTTGCATGCCCACTAAACTGTAAGAGGGCAGGTATGAAGGTGAACTAATGTTTGCTGTCTCAGGGTTGTAAACGGGGATGCAAGCACATTAAGAACATAAGAAAATACCCTTCTGAACTAGAAGCTTTTTAAAGACTTGTTAGCACATCACAACACTTGATGTCCTTAGCTTTTCACAGCGTTCACAGCGTACGTACTTCAGTTCAGTGTGAGAGTGCAATGCTATTCCCATGCATTATTCATTGCTCTGCCCCTCTTTTAAACACAGTTATGCAAGAACAGGAAAAAAACAACAGCCGAGATCTCACATGCATCCAAAATGGCACCCTATTCCCTTTATAGTGCACTACTTTTGACCGGGGACCTGGTCAAAAGTAGTGCACTACAAAGGGAATAGGGATCCATTTGGTATGCAGCTCTCATCTTTTACCACAGATTTTTATCCTTCCAAAATAGTTGCACTGTTCTCTGTAATGATAAAAGAATTTGAAACACCTTTATGGAATAAGAACTAGGGGCCTAGATAATGCACAACAGTCAGCTGCACATTTCAAAGAGCAGCTAGCTACCTTCTCAGAATACACTGAGACTTAACTTTAAGGGCACAACACTGTTATACAATGAGCCCACTACAGATAGGCTTTGACTCATACAGAAACAAGGTGTTGCCATGGAAATATTGCTACATACAGTGTAGTGTGTCGTTCAATATTGCAGCACAGCATTCTACCTGCAAAACATATTCTCTACAGTCCTGCAGCTTCCTACTCTTAGACTCGTTCTCCAGCTGTATTGGCCTTATTCTGTGTTCACTGCTTCACACCACAACACTGGAGATTTGCAGGAATGCTTCTAGAATTCTAGAATGTGTGGTGACACCAGACACTGAGGTGTCCTAGAATGGCTTCATCAATCCACCAGGGTTTCTTGCTGTCATAAATACTGCAATGTTACTGTAGCCAGAGGATGTGACAGAGAGAGAGAGAGAGAGAGAGAGAGAGAGAGAGATATGGCTTTAGGAAGAGGGGGTGGGTGAGTGGTGGGTGGGTTAGTGGAGGGGGGAGGGTCAGTGATGGTGAGAATGTTTTTAGACAGCCTTGGAATCTTCTCCATCTTAATCATACAGTACACACATGGTCATGTGTTCAAGCGTAGTATGCAGACAGAGGGATAGCAAGATTTCTCCTTAAGATGTACACTCTTAGAAAAAAAACATACATGCCAAGTATAGACCATATATTGTGTTCCCTTTCAGGTTATAGAAAAGAGCAGAAGCTCTGAACTATCCGTTCAGACCCCAGTCCTACCTGTTTTAGTATTTCTCCAGTAGGTTTCTTCAAGGAGAAAGACCCCCACTTCTATGTCAAAGATCATAAAATAAAAACACTATAGTAAATACTACAGTAATGTCCGCAAAAACACTACAGTAATTACTATAGTATATACTACAGTTTTTCTACCACAGTATTTATACTATAGTAAACTCTAAATACTATAGTATACTACAGTAAATACTACAGTATTCAGTGTAGTGTTTTTGGAGACTTTATTCTGCAAAAACACTACAGTGAATACTACAATAAAGTCTGCAAAAACACTACAGTGAATACTATATATTTATACCTTAATATACAGTACTATAGTATTTTCTCATGTGGGGATGTCTGCCCTTGGTTAGATTAATTCATAATGTATTTCATGAAGACAATAAAGAGGGATGTATGTAGCCTACAGCTCTCTCTCCTCTGTTGACAGGTTTTGACAGCAGTGACTTGAGGGAGACGCGTGTTTGAATGTACTCATCACTAACTATAGAATAAGGATGCCATATGGATGGATGTCCGAATCTGAACTGCCTTTTCTTCCTGTGTATTCCTGTTGTAGATGATCAGTCTTCAGATAATGAGAGTCTAAAGAAGAGGATTGTTTTCTCAGTCACTCTAAGTAATCGTCCCATGCATGGGAGCGCTCCAACAAAAAAAAAGAAAAGAACGCTAGCATGTTGGTTGTGCAGTGGCCGCTGAACCATAAACCTATTCCCATATCTGTTTGTGCAGTCTTACCAACTTCTTGTCACTCGTAAATTATTTAAGGGTTGTGTACAAAATGGCACCCTATTCCCTACATAGTGCACTACTTTTGACCAGAGCCCCTATGGGCCCAGGTCATAAGTAGTGCACTATAGATAGCAGGGTGCCATTTAGGACACAGAAGGAGTTGGAAAGAGAGCAGAAATAGACTGCAACCCAGGATAACTAAACCATAGAAACAAAAGCAAAAGCCTGATCGAGGGTTAGCTAGCAAGGGAAGCTTGCACGGCTTTGACTTTGACCAATGTCAGTGTGACTATTTCTGTTCTCTTTCTTTTCCTTTCTGCTCGGTTTGATATCAGTTCTGACTGATGGGCCTGGATTGTCATTGCCTGAGATGAAGGCTCATTTTAGCTTAGAGACAGATGTAGGATGTAGGCTACAGTGTCCTGTACTGACAGTGGAGATGTGTGTGTCTTTGTGTTCCAGATAAAGTGGACGAGAACATGCCTTCTCAGAAGCCTATGTGGGAGAACTCCAACGCTGACATAAGGGTCGCTAACACAGTCAAGTCACGGCCCAACAGCAGGTGCTTTGCCATGAGCCCCGAGATGAATGTAAGTATAAGCCCTACCGTCAGTGTAAGTATTGTTGGCTGTGTGGCACAGGAGTGAGACCAGAAAGGTGTACACTGAGTAGGGTAGCAAAATACTGGAACATTTCCCAAACTTCCCAGGTTTTCCAAAAATTGCAGTTGGGTGTATTCCCAAAATCAGCTGGGACTGGGAAACCAACTGGGAATCAATAGACATTTTTTTGAAAAACTGGGCATTTTGGAAAAGTTTCTGTAATTTTTGAAAGCTAATGCTAAGAGAATTCTGGTGGCTGCACCATTGCCTGTTGGAAGTTACTGCTATATTCTGGCTGGTAATAGAAATGCATGATTGGTTTCCTTTGTTAGGCGCTGTGCATGACCTGATGGGAATTGCATTCCCTGATTTGCTTGGTCTCAGAAGAGTATATGAAGTTTAAACAGCTTCTTGTTCTTGATTGTCCTTCATCTCTTTCACAAGTTTATCTGCGTCTTTGAGGACAAACACACACAGTTGGATATTGTTGATGAAATGTACCTCAAAAAGACCTGTAATACTATGTAGTAAAGATCAGTCCAGGCACCAAGTGTCCTCTCTCTGTGTTGCAGTCCATGTGTGAGAGCCAGGATATGTCAATGCAGACCCAGACCCAGGCCCAGCCCAGAGAGCCAGGCAGTCCCAGAGGTCAAGGACCCTACCTGGGGGTGCCAAACAGACAGGGGACCATGAGACGACAGAAGTCCATAGGAACATCTGGTAACAACATATCAACATGTTTCTGTCAAGGCTAAATATTGAACCTGCATACTGTACAGTACACACATACATACAGCATCAATGTGTGTGCACAGACACACACACAGACACAAACACACACACACACACACACACAGACAGACAGACAAGCCCACACACATGCACACATCTGTGGATAAATCCCTGTATTGGACAGAGCAAAAATTTAGGAAATGACTTTTTCGCACACAAAACCTTGAAGGTTTCAATTATATAATTGCCATTGATATAATGTAATAGTAAATGTATTTTTATTTTTCAGGAATAACAGAAGAGGAGACCCCTCAGTTTCTGACCCCTCCTATGTTGAAATTCACCAGGAGCCTCTCCATGCCGGACACATCAGAGGACATCCCACCCCCACCCGCCAGTTCCCCTCCATCTCCCCCTTACAACAACGTCCCCAACCCCCAGGTCAGAGGCTACGGCACCATCAGGCACTCTGCTCCTAAAGGCACCGCCCCAGAGCGAGGGGACCTCAACACGGGCGGCAGCGATGGGTGGAGGGAGCAGGGGGGTATGTACTACAGAGAGCCCCAGTCTGAACAGTACCAGTCTGAGAACCACCACCACCAACAGGGAAGCCACAGCCCAGGCCAAGGCCTCACAGCCCAGCAGAGCTTCCTGAACCGCAGGGCCCAGATCCCTGAGAACCCCTACTCAGACCTGGGTAAGATGGGCAACCTGGGGCTGTTTGCCCCTAACAAGCCCCAGAGGAGGAAGGGCATGCTGGTGAAGCAGAACAAGATCGAGGACAGCCCGGAGAAGATCTGCACCATCAAAATCCCAACCATCATCATCAAGGAGCCGTCTACATCCAGCAGTGGTAAGAGCAGCCAGGGCAGCAGCATGGAGATAGAAACTGGTGCCCATGACCACTCGGGACAGCTCCGGCCCGACGACGGACACAACCCCAGCAGCCCCTTTGCCACGGCCATGGCGGGCGCCATGCGAGAGCGCGAGAGGAGGATGGTGGAGTCTCACCAGAACTCCCCGTCCTACAGGTTCACCGACCAGGGTGATGAAGACTCGCCTCCCGCCCCAACGCCTCGCCTCCGCCACTCCAAGTCCATCGACGAGGGGATGTTCACTAGTGATGAACGCCTGCGCCGCATCATGGCCCCACCTGCCTCTCTCCTCAGCATCCCCAGAGGAGAAGGCAACGTGACAAACTTCAATACCTCAGAGCCCAACATGGTGAGGGAGCCACTCCACACCCGCACGGGTCACCACAGCCCGGTCAGTCTGCCAAACAAGACCTACACCTCCAGCAGCGGACACTACGTCCACCCAGTAACCGGGAAGCCTCTGGACCCCAACTCCCCTCTTGCACTGGCTCTAGCTGCGCGGGACCGGGCCATGAGAGAGCAGTCCCAGCCTCTCCCACTGAAGACCGAGCCAGCCAAACCTGACCTGAACAAGCCTCTGTTCATCGACACCAAGCTAAGGACTGGTATGGATGCGAGTTTCTCCGCGACGGCCACAATGGGTCGACCAGGCAGGGCAGGGCTTCGCAGGCAGATGACCGAGGCCAAGTACGAGACAGAGTCCAAATACGACCACCCACTGGCTAAAGACCAGGACAAGAGTCTATCCCAACCTGAGAGAGAAGAGGAGAAGAAGAACATGTTGATAGATACCGTGGACACATCTCAGCAGAAGTCTACTGGTCTGCTGATGGTTCACACCACTGATGGGGCCAGGTCAGAGGAGAACAGCCTGTCTGAGGGGGACAGGGACGGGGCAGTGAGTCCAGACAGCACCCCCAGCGAGCTCCGGGATCCCAACCAACCTAACACCTCCAAAATGTCCTCCCCTAACCCCCATAACCCCCACTCTATGGGCCCTGGACTGAGAGGTAGTAAGACCATGATCACCATCACCTCAGTAGATGAGCCGGTCAAACTCCCCTTCGGTATCCCCCCTCCGCCCTGTGTTCCCTCCGTGGACATCGACGATGAGTTCTTTGCTGACCCACTGCCGCCACCGCTGGAGTTCGCCAACAGCTTCGACATCCCAGAGGACCAGAAGGGGGTGATCGCTGAACTGCTCAAACAGCAACGAAATGCTGGCAGAGCCCCGTCGTCTCTAGCTCCCTTCTACCCACATCACGGTAACACCCCAGGCCACCCTCATCAGACGATGATCAAACGGCCTGCGGTGCTGACTAACTGTATGCCCCCCAGCTTCCCTCCCAACCCCCTGGAGAGCTACGAGCCTATCAGTGACTCTGGGATTGATGTGGAGCCAGACAGCCAGAGTAGTGGAGACCCTCAGATGGAGACTACGAGCACTGCATCCACTGTGTTCAGTATCTCTACGCTGTCGTCAGAGGGCGGTGAGGCGCTGGACAACACATGCACAGTCTATGCAGACGGACAGGCCTTTCTGGTGGACCGGACCTCAAAGCCAAAAAACAGGCAACCTGCCGCCAACAAGAGTAATGCACTTTACAAGGACCCCGCCTTGATGGATAGAGAAGAGAACCTAAGAACTTTCGGAACGCCCTCCTCTGTCCCGCCACCTCCCCCCGGGGCATGCGTCCACTCAGAGCCCCCCAGAACACCAACGCAAAGGACCTCAAAGCTGTGGGGAGACCCGCCAGGCTCTAACCCCCAGGACATGCAGAACAAGGACATAACACCAAAGCCAGGGGACGGGATAGACTCTTCTTCCTCAGGATGTAGGACCGTTTTTGGATCAAGGTAATCTTTTTTTCTCTGTGTGTGTGTGTGCGTGCATGCCGTGCATACAGTGGGGGAAAAAAGTATTTAGTCAGCCACCAATTGTGCAAGTTCTCCCACTTAAAAAGATGAGAGAGGCCTGTAATTTTCATCATAGGTACACGTCAACTATGACAGACAAAATCAGAAAAAGAAATCTAGAAAATCACATTGTAGGATTTTTAATGAATTTATTGGCATATGATGGTGGAAAATAAGTATTTGGTCAATAACAAAAGTTTCTCAATACTTTGTTATATACCCTTTGTTGGCAATGACACAGGTCAAACGTTTTCTGTAAGTCTTCACAAGGTTTTCACACACTGTTGCTGGTATTTTGGCCCATTCCTCCATGCAGATCTCCTCTAGAGCAGTGATGTTTTGGGGCTGTCGCTGGGCAACACAGACTTTCAACTCCCTCCAAAGATTTTCTATGGGGTTGAGATCTGGAGACTGGCTAGGCCACTCCAGGACCTTGAAATGATTCTTACGAAGCCACTCCTTCGTTGCCCGGGTGGTGTGTTTGGGATCATTGTCATGCTGAAAGACCCAGCCACGTTTCATCTTCAATGCCCTTGCTGATGGAAGGAGGGTTTCACTCAAAATCTCACGATACATGGCCCCATTCATTCTTTCCTTTACACGGATCAGTCGTCCTGGTCCCTTTGCAGAAAAACAGCCCCAAAGCATGATGTTTCCAACCCCATGCTTCACAGTAGGTATGGTGTTCTTTGGATGCAACTCAGCATTCTTTGTCCTCCAAACATGACGAGTTGAGTTTTTACCAAAAAGTTATATTTTGGTTTCATCTGACCATATGACATTCTCCCAATCCTCTTCTGGATCATCCAAATGCACTTCAGACGGGCCTGGACATGTACTGGCTTAAGCAGGGGGACACGTCTCGCACTGCAGGATTTGAGTCCCTGGCGGCGTAGTGTGTTACTGATGGTAGGCTTTGTTACTTTGGTCCCAGCTCTCTGCAGGTCATTCACTAGGTCCCCCCGTGTGGTTCTGGGATTTTTGCTCACCGTTCTTGTGATCATTTTGACCCCACGGGGTGAGATCTTGCGTGGAGCCCCAGATCGAGGGAGATTATCAGTGGTCTTGTATGTCTTCCATTTCCTAATAATTGCTCCCACAGTTGATTTCTTCAAACCAAGCTGCTTACCTATTGCAGATTCAGTCTTCCCAGCCTGGTGCAGGTCTACAATTTTGTTTCTGGTGTCCTTTGACAGCTCTTTGGTCTTGGCCATAGTGGAGTTTGGAGTGTGACTGTTTGAGGTTGTGGACAGGTGTCTTTTATACTGATAACAAGTTCAAACAGGTGCCATTAATACAGGTAACGAGTGGAGGACAGAGGAGCCTCTTAAAGAAGAAGTTACAGGTCTGTGAGAGCCAGAAATCTTGCTTGTTTGTAGGTGACCAAATACTTATTTTCCACCATAATTTGCAAATAAATTCATAAAAAATCCTACAATGGGATTTTCTGGATTTTTTTTTCTCAATTTGTCTGTCATAGTTGACGTGTACCTATGATGAAAATTACAGGCCTCTCTCATCTTTTTAAGTGGGAGAACTTGCACAATTGGTGGCTGACTAAATACTTTTTTTCCCCACTGTATGTGCGTGTCTAAGCATGCTTGTGTGTGTCCGCGTTTTTGTGTGTGTGTGTGATTGTGTGTGTGTTCTGCCGGAGAGCAGATAGAGTTGCCTAGCAACCTAATAATGAGAGCAGCAGCCTTGAGGAGTAGATGAGCAACAACGTCATGTCAGTCTGATATCATAGAGACTAAACCACCACAGCGCTCTCCTTGGAAGGAAGGAGTGAGCCATGTGTCACTGTGTGTGTCACTAGCAGCACGGTTCAAAATAGCACAGAGGCTGCATCCCAAATGGCACCATATTCCCTATTTAGTGCACTACTTTTGATCAGGGCCCATAGGGAAATAGGGAATAGTGTGCCATTTGAGACCCAGCCAGAGTATCTTTAAAGGGGTGGATGGTGTGTGTAACCTGTCTCTTTATCATCTATAATTTCAACAAACCCAGAGTAGGTGAAATATCTATGAGCAGAGGGGCTCTCTCGTCAGTTAACCCTCCTCTTCATTCTTCTACCAGTCACGTCAGATTACTAAAGTAGAATGGCATTGGGAGACTAGAGGTGTGTGTATACATTGAGGCTCCAACAGATGTAGGCTATGCAGTGTTGAATGTGTGGGATGTATGATTGTAGCCTGTAATTGTGTGGTTGGTTTTTGACCGTATGGATACATATTTCTGAATGTGTATTTATGTCACCAGCATTATGTAGGCTATGCAGGTTTCTGTCAGTACGTTTGTTTATTGGTGTGTGAATAGTTACTGTTTGTCTATTTGTGTAAATGACATATATCTGTTTTGTACAGTAGGCTACCTAAGCCGGTGTGGCATTTCTTACAGACACGGTGCGTTCCTCCCTACAGCAGTCCCCTGTGATAGCAGCACTTATTATGGAAAGCTGTGGTTATTTACAGAGCAAACCAGAGGAGGCTAACCCTAAAATGCATGGCTATACCAGCAAAGCTCTGCTTGCTGAATATGCTGCAGAGCAGAGCACATCCCTGTCGTGTGATCTGAATGAGATATTAGGTTAACCTGATTCAACCTGATTCATAGTGTGACTAGATGAATAGCATAGAGATCTTCTGACACTTTCAAAGAAATGGCTGTCACTTTATATGGGAAGAAAAACACTGTTTGTTCATTTGTATTTAGAATGAATTCCCCACTTCCTACTTACAAAGGAGTGAATATCTCTTTTGTTTCTTAACTTATTTTACTTCCCTCTCCTCTGACACAAACAAACACACACACACACACACACACACACACACACACACACACTGTAGCCTACTCCCAGTCTGCAGTTTTGCAGGAGTTGGTGTAGTTTAGAGAAAGACTGTTTTATTCTCCAGTAGGTCTTTCAGGTCAAGTAGACTACATCTTCCTTTCCTCGCAGGAGGAGAGACATCAAAGCGTCCGTCTCTTACTGGCCCGGTCAGAGCAGTCAGGGAGGGAGGAGGCAGGATGAGTGTATATACTGCAGGGGTGTGTACTGTGTTTGTTTGCATCCAGGTGTAGTTGTGGAATATTTAAGTTTGTTTGTCAAGCTGACTCAGTGTCTCTGACTAATGTTTTAGTAAATTATTTTCTGATAAACAACACCTCTCTCTCGTCCTCTGACCTGGTGCGTTCTGTACGTTCTGTAGGGGTCCAGACGGTGGGTCCCTCGCCTCAGGTACACAGCGGAATACCACAGTCACTTTTGCTGCCCAGCTCGGCCCGAGTGTGTCGGCCCCATCTCCAAAACGACAGACAGAGAGTCTCCCCCACCACCGAGCCCCCAGCCCCATCCTCTCTCCCCCAGACTCAGGCCTCGGCTGTGCCTCCTCCCTCCCCGCCACCTCCCCCACCCTCTCGGATGTGTTCGGCCTGCCCACCCCCCCTCTCAGCCTGGGCACGGGGAGCAGCCGCTCACCCTCCCCCCTCACCCTCATGCAGGCCGTCTCCAACAAGCCTTTTGCCACCAAGCCGGTTCTGATGTGGAGCAAACACGACGTGGCCGACTGGCTGGAGAGCCTAAACCTGGCTGAGCACAGAGACACCTTCATGGACAACGACATCGAGGGCTCCCACCTGCCCAGCCTGCAGAAGGACGACCTCATAGATCTCGGGGTGACCAGGGTCGGCCATCGGATGAACATAGAGAGAGCTTTGAAACTGCTGATGGACAGATGAGAAGAGAGGATGAGGTCTCTCAGTCTCCAACACAACAACTTCACATAACAGTTTTATTTATGTTGGCTTATTTAAACTATACTTACTGTATAATTCTTATGATGATGCTTGTTTTGTTGAAACTTAGAAATATCCTCATGTATCCTGAAGAAACTGCAACTTGAAACAGCACTGCAGTTTCCTGAATAAGCACAAAAGTCCCCCAGAGTGGGATAGAGCGATCCCAGGTGAGACAGAGCCGCTCTGTCAGTAGAAGTAAGGAAGCAGACACACAGGGACCTGGCTGCGACGTGGAAGGCACTACACTATCAAACAGAACAGCAGCCTAATCGCTATGGGACTTAAGGATTTTTTTTAAATCAACCTCATTTGAATGCAAAACCAGAACCAGCTTTGCAGGGGTTGCATTTTCTATTGTATCTCAGTTAGAAAGTATGTGAATACTGATCTCTTCAGGAAAAAGGGTGGGAATCTGCACTGCGCATGGCCGGCGCTAGAACAAATCAGACGGGCATTTGATTTCCATATGGAGGCAGGTTTTTTTCACGGGACCTCCTATGTGTGTAGGTGATGGGCCTGAAGGGACCCCCGTTCAAAGTAATGAGCAGTCATTCTGACTGCAACATTCTAACAATGTAATTAATACATTTAATATATGCTATCACGAAAATATAAATTTGGTTGTGTTTAGGAAGGTCTTAAGTAACATTAGAATACAAAAATATATATATTTCAAATAACACAAAAGCATTTTCATTCGTTTATGTTACTGTAGGATACAGTATGTAAAAACTGAAAAACACAAAAAAACACCCAAATTCAAGTGTTAATATAATAATAATATACAATTTCGCAGAAGCTTTTATCCAAAGCTACTTACAGTCATGTGTGCATACATTTTTACGTATGGGTGGTCCCGGGGATCGAACCCACTACCCTGGCGTTACAAGCGCCATGCTCTACCAATTGAGCTACAGAAGACCACCCTCTGTAAATTGTATTCGTGGAGTGCCTTTGTTACAACTATGTAACAGAAAGCATAGGTGTTGGAACGCAGTAACAGCTTATTTTTATAACAAGAAAATAAAAATACCCCAACCACCAAGACGCACGGTGCGCAGTCAAATGATGAAAACATCAGTAGCTTAAACATATAAGCGCCAAGTGTGCTTGATAAATAGTCAAAATCAGCACAAAAGTAATAATGACATTATAATGAATATACAGTAAGTGTCGATGACAGCAGTAAGAAATTATTAATTATCAGTTGGAGCATGTCCATCTCACATAAACAACGAAAGCTGGTGAGTGCTTGAGGCCTGCTCTCTCAGTGATGACATTTTGTGCTGATAATCGGCCCGTAGCATTTTCACCGGCTTGTTCTATCCAAACGGTGCCGTCCCTTCCTCTCTCCTGTCTCACCGTTTCATTTGGTGGTGGCGCGGGCACTTGCTCAGTGCGCACCATTCTGGCTTTTTTGCCTTTAGGCCTCGGAGGTGTAGGTTCAGGCTGAGGCTCAGAATCAGAAGAATAATCATCAGAGATTTCATCATGATTCATTTCTTCTCCACCATCTGAATCATTTTCATTCAGATTTTGTAGCAACGCTTGCCATTGTAAATTACGCACGCTCTCACGGTCTACTCCAAGTAGGCCAGAGTAGACTAAAAAAACAGCTTGGATTCAGTTGACTGATATAGGGTACACACTATTTTGAGATTATATAATTAGAATTGATCAATACAATAGAATGGCCCGCCCTGTTCTTCATTCACAATTGGTGATTAAATAATTATGCATTGTTCGCTTCCCCTCACTCATCAACTCACCCATTCTCCCCCTTTCTCCCACATCATACTGTACTTCATTTATTTTATCTGTTGTTATATGTGTGAAATTAGTTTCAGTATAGTTTAGGTTCAGTTTCGAGGCAGTTATCGGGGTGGTTATCAACTAGGCATGGCACCTTCAACTATCGCGAGAAGGAGGGGAGCAGGCCCTACTGTCGGCAGGAGGAGGGGCAATGGGGGAAACCCATTATAAAACTGGTTATAACACCAGTTCTGGTTGTGATTTGAAGATTCTAACAACAGTGTGTTTTATAGACTTATTTAGGAAAAGTAAAGGACGAAAGTGGGCATGACTTTATAAATAGCAGAGTAATAAATGTTTTAAATTCACGAGCAGTCCAAATTACTGCTTTAGCAGTTCTGGTGTGGGTTTTATAGTAAAGACATTTAGTTGTAAAAATGTATTACCTTTTAATGTGGCATGAACACAACCAGTCATGATGTTTTCATCTGATTGTCCAACAAATCACTTCAAGAAATAGGTTATCTTCGCGCATTCGTCCAAAATAGCGTCCGAGTGAGCGAAATAGCGCCCCTCTGTCTTACTACACGTAGCCCATGTATCTGATGCGGTCTGGCAAAAAAGAGAATGACATGCCATGCTCTTTAAGTCCAGACACCATCAGCTACATGGGCTACACATACTGAGACAGCGGGGCGCTGTTTCGCTCGCTCAGATGCTTTATCTGAGATTGATGCGTCTTTATGTCGGCGCGCGTCTCGGGTCAAATAAATAACCGCCACATTGGACGCGTCATAATACCCATAAAAACACGGAAATGGTTCCAATGGTTTTTCGGACATACATTTTTCATATCGTGAATTTTTTTAGAAAGTACAAATTAATTGTGTTTGGTGTAGGTTTACCTCGGTTTTGATAGCTGTGTAATTCTCTCTCGGACAAGGTGAGTTTTTATCAATATATTCACCTCAATTTACTATAAAAAATGTGATATGCTAATTATAGATTAAAGTTACCTTGTCTGGGAGAGATTTGTGCGGTTATCAAAACATCACTCCAGGGTAAGCCAACACAAAACACAGACCTTATATGAAGTAGTTCTAAAATCCCAGACACAAAAATGAATGGTGAAAAAACGATTTCAACCATTTCCGGGTTGTATGACTCACACTGTGTTATTAGGGGGCCCATAACGCCGGCCATGGCACTGCAGTGTGTGAAGAAAATACATCTCTCTCTCCCTTTTTACTGGGTTGTAGTTTGATTTGAGGGACAGTACAGTGTTTTCTCAGACAAAGGTATTGCCCATTTCTACCCTGAAAGGAGGTCACATCAGATGGATTTCAAAATAGGTACAGTAGCAAGTTGTTGCCCTTAGTTTTCACTTGCCATGTTTTCAACATACTTTCAAGTTTTAATATTTGTTTGTAGTTGTGTTTACTTGAGGTTGAAAAGTGGAACACAATACATATTGAAAATGTAAATTAAGTTCATAAATCATTATACTGTCTTCCACAGGAAGCTGAAATGTGTGCCAACAGCTCTCCCTACTGTTGTCTTCTGAACATGACATGGCAGAGAGAGCAGAGCTTGGCAGTCAGGGCTTTCCCATCGTTATCACCAACCATCATCCTTTCTTTCACAGTCTTCTATGTCCTCTGAGAGGAATAATACACACACTATCACATTAGGTTATTACTATACCCTGAACTGATGTTTAGGGCTTTGGGATTGAAGACTCAGGAATGGATTACCCTAGTTCAACAGCGTAGCAGGGATGGGGTCAATTCCATTTCAATTCAGTCAATTCAGGAAGTAAATTCCAATTCCAATTCCACATTTTTCTCATAGAGAAGCATTGAAGAAAATTGGAATTTCAGTTTACTTCCTGAATTTAAAAGGAATTTACCCCAACACTGCAGAGTAGGCATGTTTCTGAAGACGGATATCATTCAAGTTTATGCAATGATGAGAACAAGTAGGTGAACAAACACTAAAGCTGGCATTTCCCTTTCCTTTAGAATAGGAATAGTTCAACTTGTTTGGCAATTGAAGAGAGGCAGATACCTCTAGGAATCAATTTGGTAGAAATGTTGTATGATAATTGAAGTATTAGAGATTTATTTATTCTATGATTGTGTTTTGATGTGTTTTGTTGATGAGGAAGAAAGTTGTAGATATCCACAGAGCTCAAAAGGATGACAGCTTCTTTATAGAATTAGGTAATGCTTTTAGGGGAATTTCTACTCCCAGCGACCGCTGTTCTGGAACACATGGAGCTACAGTACATTTGCTAAACCATGTGCCATTGGACTTCTTTGACGGGTCTCTTTTATACAACACATTTGAAACTGGCCAAATCAAAAACAGTATCACCAGAATAAGAATGTCCTAATGTTCAGTATAATTTCCCTCCATGTTCTCAAGGCAAAGTCTCCTCATACCATGACCAGTCCAAAAAGGCAGGGATTCCGATAAGTTTAAATGTAGTTTACTCTCTCCACTGAGTTTTTTTCTGAAACGGTCTGAAGTGGTATTTTCCATTCAGTTTACTTTGGGTTTATATTCCGGACCTTAACAGTGTAAATTCTTGATATTTGAAATTCACCAAAACAAAATTAGGGTGCTAGTTAAAGTTCTAACGACAGTATTTGTGAAACATTATTTTGGATCTACATCTCAGAGCACAATAAATTCAATGTATGGGTGGGATGTGTGTGTGATCTAATGGTGAGAGGTGGAAAACGTACCTTGATATGACTGTCTGATTAAGTAAAAAAGTGTGATGGTCCACAGTCAAAAGGATGTTGCATAAAGCTTACTTAATTTGTATTTATTTACGACTGTCTGATGACTGTCTGATGACTGTAGTATGACATCATAACATAACAATTATAGTGTGATAGACTGCAGAGTAGTGATTATCACCTGTCAGTTGTCACTGTTGACATGTGGGCATACTTTGAGATGAGATCTTATGTTAAGAACCATAGGAACAAGAAAGAGCACAGTATTTTTTGATGATGTAGAGATATTTAATATCAGGATATATTCCTATCCTGAGCTGTGGTTAGGTTTTCAAAAAAGAAGAGAAATATGGTTAAGAAGCAATATAATATAAATTCTGTTTCAAGTTGTTGTTTTTATTTTTCAGAGGAATAATTATACATGTAACAGGATTTCAA